ACAAATGGTGATTTTCAATAGTTATGTTAGTTTACCAGAGGGTAATGATCATAAACCATCATAATTAACAATCATGGTTACCATGCCTTCAGCTTGACGAGATCTGATCCCCTGAGATGGCGATGATCCCTATGGCGATGGAGAGAGAAAAACAAAATCATAATGATATGAAAAACCATCATGATAGCCAGATAATTAACCATCATTAACCATCATCAACCATCATTAACCAGATAAGTAACCATCGTTAACCATCATTAACCAGATAAGTAACCATCATTGACCATCATTAACCATCATTAACCACCATTAACGATCATTAACCATCATTAACGATCATTAACCATCATTAACATGATGAACAATCATTAACCATCATTAACCATCATTAACCATCATTAACCATCATTAACCATCATTAACCATCATTAACCATCATTAACCATCATTAACCATCATTAACCATCATTAACCATCATTAACCATCATTAACCATCATTAACCATCATTAACCATCATTAACCATCATTAACCATCATTAACCATCATTAACCATCATTAACCATCATTAACCATCATTAACCATCATTAACCATCATTAACCATCATTATCTGGTTCATAATCATGAGAATTAACCATCATAAACCATGAACCAAGCGCATTTTTCACGACATCGATGCTCGCAGGTCACTTTCCTGGTGGAACACCGCTTGGTACAAGCCTGGCGCGATGCCGGGCAGGACCGGCGAAGACGACCTGGACCTGGTCTGGATGGACGGTGTTTGGGTCCAAAAAACATCAAAAATGCTGGGTTTAAACATGTTTAACCATGAAGAAGTGGGTTTTCATGAGAATGTTTTGTGGATATATCACCAACATTCACCAACATTCACCAGTCAACAGTTGGAGGATATAACCATTAATATGAGTAATTCAATGTCAGCCATCCATGTTCGAAGGGATTTATATCATATGCCAATGATGTGCCAGGATTTCCCATGGCATGAATATGGTCTTTTGACCATGGCACATATGTAGCACTTCCGGGATCACGATGGAGAGAGAGGGAGTGAAAATAGGAAAATGATGGAAAATGATGATTGGTCAGTGGATTACTGTAGGGGGGGGGGGTAATCACCCCAAAATGGGAGTCTCAATGTGAAAAGATAAGAAAGATATGAACCAAATGAAATTTGGGGAACTCACCGACAAGGGTGCAAAACTTGTTTTCGAAGCGAACTTGGGAGTTTGTGAAAGAAGAAACCAAAAATATGATCACTGCTAGAATAGGCACCAGTTTCTTGATTCAATCAATTCAATCCCTATGACTACATATGTATATATATATATACATATATATGGGTAAATCATAACGACCTCACTGCGACCTCACTGGAACAATGGTTAGTAAGGGATATTATCATATTTCAGGTTGGTGAATTATTAAAAAATATTATCATTTACCCAGATAACATACATGGTTGCATTAACCGTTTGGCCGCAGAGTCCAGGTGTCTATGGTTTGGCCCAAAACTGCCAGGACAAACGCATCACTTCCTTCCAGGCATGGTGGGCCTTCGGGGTCCTGGGACGGCTTGTGACTTTGGATCTTAGTCATCAAATAGGGATTTCATGGGGGAAAACCATAGGATAACCAGAGGAAAATATTTCAATGGATTGGTTTAAGGCAAAATTTACTGGTTTAAGCCCCATGATCTTAATGGGAAATTCGATGGTTTCGGTTAAGATCTTCCCTTCCAATCCATTGATATATGTATTGTTTTGTCTGTAACTCCAAAATGGGGACGATATGAAATGAATCGACAAATTTCAAAATGAAAACAAAACACGGGACCCATTCTGAATGGCGTGCTGGTAGCCCCTCATGTTCCCCTGTTGGTGGTATCTGAATTCTGACCCGGTTACGTTGGGCTTTCTGGTTGGTCTAGTTAGGTTCCCCAAACTTCCAAAATGGGTCCACTCTCCGAACGATTTCTTCAGGCCGTGGAAGGAATTCTCAAAGAAGTTCGTGCCAAGTCCCAGCGGCAAGTCACAAAGACACTGATTGGATGTTCGGTCGTTGGATGTCGCTGGGAAAGATGTACAAACAAGTGGCCCATCCCACTTACTATGTATGTTATAACCTCAGTTTTGTTTGTAAAGCCAGTAGGGTGAATCCACTTTAGGGTTATAACTTATTATAACCTGCTTAGTAAGAGGGACCACCGAGAAAAATCTGAAACCTTTCCAAGGTTTGAGGAAACTGTTTGGTTTCGTCAACTATGATATTCTCAACATTTGGGGCCAGTGTGGCCCTGAAGCATCGGTTTAGTTGCCGGAAATCCCCAGTTTGTCTTGCGATTTTTGCACAGGTTTCATCATCACGTGGGAAGTTTGAGTGTTCAAGGTTTGTTGAAGAGAGCAGCAAGAATTGTGACCTTGCTAAGCATACCCATCGGCAGTCCCTTAGCCAGCTTGGAAGGTCAAATTCTTCCCCGTGCCCTATTCAAATCATTACATTATACAGTACAGTAAACATTATACAGTATACATCATTAGACATTAATTCAAACTACATTATACAATACAATAAACATCATTACTTAAGTTTTGTCACTTTAGCGAGTTGCAAACTTGGTGGCCCATCCATGGTTTTTCACGATAAAATCAGGTCGTTTGGAGCAGTTGCCTCTCAGCGAACTACAGAAACAGTTCAAGATGAGAGGTGGGGCCCTCCGTGGATCCCTGAGGGTCCAGGTGATGATGATGCGAAATCCAATAAACCACCGGTCAGGTGGTTGAAAGCCGATTTAAATAATGGGATGTTGGTGGTTTGGAACATGGCTTTTATTTTCCATTTCATATATGGGATGTAATCCTTCCCATTGACGAACTCAGATTTTTCAAGATGGTTAAAACCACCAACCAGATGGGATGTGAAATCCACCGTTTTCAACTGGTGATTCGGATTTCGCTGGCCCATCCACCAAAAACGTCTTCATACAATAAGTCTTGATATGTTTTACATGTAATGTTCAATAGATGTGCAACGCCAAGGTTCCATGTTGAGTATATATTAGATGGAAGATGTATTGATTGATATAGTCAGTGTATGTCAGTGTCAAAAATATATGGGGAAATCACTGATAATGGTTGGTCAATGTCAATGGGTATTCCCATGATATTTGTGAACTATGATGGTGTTCACTAGGGTACCAGGCTATTTATTGACCAATGTTGTTGTTGATGGAAACCTGTATGACATATTGTTTGATGCTGCAACAGTTGTCCATGCGAAGTTTGCTTATTGAAAATGGTTTAGTTTGAGGTTCCATGTCTTTATCTTTGAAGCGATTTTCTTCAGTCTTACTTTTGACAGGTTTTGTTTCATTTTGTTTCAATGTCAGCTAGTTTTTTTCATGTTTGCTTTCAATGGCTCTCCAGTCGAGTCGCCTCCTCGGCACCGGCTCGAAATGCTCGAAAAGTAGCCCCACAAAAAAACACGTCGCCAATGAATCGGATGCGGCAAAGTCGGACTTGCAGACCCCCCAAAAAACGTCGCAATACGTGTGGCATAGCGGGCGGCACAGCGGCATAATGCGGCATAGCATCCACCACAGCGAGGGGGCAGCAAGTTGAAGCCCCAAAAACTTATGGCAAAGATAACGACAAATCTTTCTGAGATCCAGCCTTGAGAACTTCATTAGATCAGAAGCAGTTCATAGTGACATAGTTCCAACTGATGCTACGGTAGAAAGCTGAGTTCTCCATGGCCTGGGATTTCAATCTGGATTTCAGCAAGCCGCGCAAGGCGGGGAGTCGTGGACACCGCGGGGCAGAGATGGGTCATGTCGTTGAATAGTTGAATACAGTACATGAAAATACATGAAACTGAATGAAATCAGCAGGGTAGACCAGGAAAGTCCAGGATCATCATTTGCCCTGGCACGAATTATCACTAGCCAGGTTCCTATTGTCATTGCTGCTTACATGAACATCTTTTGATGCTAACAGATACACGATACACACGTACTGTACCTTTGTCTCACCTTTCTACGCTTTGATCGGACCACTGGAGTCACTGGACCACCATGCCAGGTTCGATTTTGAGGGACTGCATGCTACGGGCTGTCCCAACTTTCACCCAGTCAATGAATACCTTCCAGCTACGGTATTGTCTCATACTGGGAATTGTGAAATTGTGACATGTGTTGTTAGCATTTGTTAACGGGTTGTCACCTGCGCAATAATTGTGATCATCGAGGGGGGAAAACACGTTATATTTATGCCCACTGGCACTTCAAATCATTGAGCATACCACCAAATAGGAATAGGCATCAGAAAATGCTAATGAAATCTGATGAACAGTTGAATGTTGGGTAACATTTTTTGAACAAACCCTAGTTTTGTGGGATGAGCATCTGTGTAGCCATTTTTTCTTGCCCTGCCTAATCCATGTCGTTCACAGAACCGCTCCATGTTCAAATCGTATGCTCTGTTGGTGCGATCCTCATTTTGAAAGATGTAAAACAATTGAGTCCATATATTATACCCTCTGGTAAATTACTGGTTGGTGGTTTGGAACATTTTTTATTTTTCCATGTATTGGGAATAGTAACCCCAAGTTGGGGTTGAACCCCCCAACCAGTTAAACGAATCTTCCAACCCCGATGACTGCCAGGGTCTATGTTAATTTACCAGAGGGTATATGTTTGTTAAACCACCAGTTTTTCTCGTAAAATCAACATCTTTGTTGGTTACAACACTGAAATCACCAAGTTTCGCATAAAGAAAAACTGGGGACCTTAGAATCCTTAGAACATGAAATCTTACATGTTGATATACTCCCCGAAAAAATGGTACTTAGATGGGCCATGGGACTATTTAACTAGCTAGTGGCTGGACGATAATCCATCATTTAACCAGTTTTAATCCAGTTACTAACCAGTTAAGTAATACCAGGGCCCATCTAAGTAGTGATGGTTTCACCATTTTTCCCATGATTTTCACATCATCGTTGCAGGGCCCCGCTACCCCGTCCTTTAGCGGCGACTGGCGTGGCGGTGCTGCCGGGCACCAGGCGCCGCAAGTGGGCGCCCCGCGCGCGGCGCGGCCAGCGCCGGTGGTGGAGAACGACTCGGAGGAAGAGGCGTCGGCACATGCTCAGGGGACTCAAGCAGCCCCAGCCAAGGGTGAATCTCCCAAAAAAGAGACGGTTGATATTTATAATATATATCTATATATATATTTACATATACATATTTATATTTATAAAGTATATTGTGTATAATCGTGTCTAATTGTATACGTATATATATATATATACATATGTGCGTGTATTATAATATGCCTTTATCCTTTATTGGTAGTCAGTGATTGCGCCCCAATCCCAAAGATTCGGATCACCGACAAACGGAGGCACCGGACCCCTCCAATGAAAAGCCACAGGACGGCCGGGCTGGGTGAACGAAGTTGTGAATGGTACCCTTTAAGGTAAACTAACATAACTGTGTACGGAAAATCACTATTGTTAATGGATAAATCCATATAAATCCACTATTTCTATGTTCATTTTCAATAGCAAACTGTTAAATTACCAGAGGGTATGTCTTAAACTTTTGAGCTAATAGATGGATGTTAATATAGAGTAATCATGGAGTTATGAATGGCTTTGAATATGGTTTTGAGATGTTTTGAGATTTTTTGAGTATAGAGTTAATTAGAGTTGTAATGGTGGTCTAAACTGGATGTGGGATAGAATAGGAGTTAACCAACAATAAAATTGGCTGCAGCTTCTTTGGCACGAAGCTCCACGGTCCGAGCTGAGCTTCCCCATTGAGTCACTTCAACTCCAAGTTTTCAACTCTTTTCAACTTGGACTGTGGCCCTGTGGTGAGGGATTTAAATTCGAAGGGTATGGATCCAAATACTTCCTGAGAAGATTCTGAGCCACCTAGATCCCCAAACAACACTCCCCCAGAAGTTCCTTGGACAAGGGAATCAGCGCATCAGTTGGCATCCTGCAGAGAGGTTCCAGCGCCGGTTCCAAGCCCAAGCCACCAACTGGCAAGAGAGATCCAGATTGACAGGATGATCGACCAGCGATGATAAATGGATAGTGATGCGATCCAGGATATGTGCATGGAAAAGGTCTTGGTGACTTTTCCGTCATTTTCTCACCGCTTCCAAGTGGCAGGTGTTCCCGGACTTCAATGCCGCCGTGGCGGGAATCTGCTCGAAGGACACAGTCCATCCAACCCCCAGAAGACGGGCAAGTCCAAGTCAGTGTTGGACCATTGCGGAAAGGGGTGGATGTAGATGGGATAAACAATCAATTTATGGCAATGGCGCTGGCTATGATTTGTAAAAAAATAGTTCGTTGTTCATCACGTTTCATGTTTAGATGGATCAAGGGATCAAGGGACACATTTTTTTAATCAGCAAATCGGCATTGCCATGAAAGGGCCCCACACGATCCCACACGTCAAGTCAGCATGATAATAAAGCCTGTGATGCCTCAGTCTTGGACCAAAACCCATGTTTGTCATCACGTTGAACAACATGCAGTGCATCCGGCTGAAGATTTTCTGCTAATGAATGTTTAATGTGTCAATGGATTATTTTGTGGTCTGTCACTATTTGTCACTGGGGCATTAGTAATTAGCAACTACGAGGATCGGTTACCAATGAGTCAAAAACGGCGAAGAGTCGTGAACCATCGTGGCGTCGTGATGGTGAAAAATCTTTGGAGTATCTCCTGGATTGTGGAGATGTGTTATTTCTGACTGTCTTGCAAGAGAAAGCATCCGAAAAACGGTTGGAAAGCAACTCATCCCCACAAGCCTTGAAGATCATGTCCATGTTTATTGATTATATATACATACAAATAAATCACACCCACACACACGCACATGTATGTATATATATATATACATATGATATTTGCCCGTTTTGGCTAAATGTTCCCACGTTTTTCTGGGTTCATTCAGTGTTCACAACATGTGACACTCTAATTCGTTGTCGATTCTAGCAGCCTCACCCAGAAACCTTGAAAAACAATTTGTGTTCAGCGGAATTACGATGATGTTTCTCACAATAATTATGCCTTATGTAATTATTATGTGTCTATATATGTATGTATATATCTATATCTCTCTATATATATCGTAATATAAATATATATATATATATATACATATTGGCATTGTTTCTTGTATGACATAGCCTCCCACATATAGTGGTCACCGAGTCACAGGTGAAGCTGATTTGGGACGCTACGAAGGGCCAGCTGGTGCCCGAAGGTGGAACTCCCCGGGGCGAGCCGCGCTGGGTGAAGGAAGTGGGGTTGTTTAACGGAAAAACATGGTGATTACTGGGGAAAATGGTGGTTTTTCCATGTTTTTACTGGGGAAAATGGTGGTTTTTCCATGTTTTTACTGGGGGGAATGATGATCAACCAAGGGATCAACTGGGATTGTAATGGTATCTGAGGCTATGACAAATCATGGAGTTACTGGCCATAAACCATCCCCTAACTGAGGTTGCTTGTTAGGTATATGTATACGCCTATTTGGGATGGCTTTCAAATGGTTATTGGACATGATATGTTTTGGGATATGTGATGTATGAATATGTATGATATCATACTGAGGTTTGGGAAGCTATTGACCTGCGCTTGTTAGGTGACACATGCTCGTCCTATACTGGAACTGGAAAATGCCTCAATTTGTAGATGGATGAATTACTGTACTTCAACAATCGTCATTTGCCAGGTTACAGTACTGGAGGGCCCCAAGCTACTGGTTTGGGGCATGTGTCCAAGTTAGCCACCGAGCAAACCCTAGAAACCACCCATGACTGGGGGTCATTTTACATCATCCCACTAATTAGATGGGTACAGCATACCCAAGAATAGACATCTATTGGGAATGGTTTATTATTGGGCATGCCACATTACAGGAAGCGAATTTGGCGATTCCGGTTGACGGATTTTCTTTGTTTATTGAAGATCAATATGAAAACCCGTACTTTTGCTGGTGCAATCCCTAGATATTGTTTGGGATCTACTACAACATTTCGGGACGTCATGTGTTTGGGCAACGCAAGATCTGTGATGCAGCTTGCCCAGCCAAGAATATGAACATGCACTTCACTTGCTATCATTCCAAGTAAATTGACTGTACCCCAAACATTTGGATGTGTTCTAATCTTGACTTCTGGCAATCAAACATGGTTTGTTGGAACATCCTCCAGTTTATGGTTGGTTTTCTCGCATTGAAGTACACATTTACCCTTTGGTTATTTAACAATAGCTATGGACCACGGCACCTTTTAATCCCATTTATATATAGATTATAAACATTATAAACATCCAAAAATGGTGATGTTCTTCTTTCAAAGTTCCAGTTCAGTCGCGGCATCCCTGGCGGATCTCCGCCCCTGAGAAAAATGGGATCCGCTCAGGCGAGGAGGACACTGCGGCGGAAAAAAAGGATTCCAAGGTGTCGACTCGGGGGACATGGGATATACACCTGTACCCATGACGGATCCATATATGGTAACATGGATCCCATCAATATACCCCCTTTATGTTAGTATATATATATATATACCATACATGGATCCGTCATGGGGTATAATATAAGTTACCCTCTGGTTATTTAACATAGCCATGGAAAATCACTATTTTTGATAATAGGTAAACCATTGGTAAACCATCTATAAATGGGCAATTTTCCATGGCTATGTTAAATAACCAGAGGGTAACTTATATTGCATGTATTTGCACGTAACATATATTGCATAATATTGCAGAAATATGTGTGCACATATATCTATATGTATATATGTTCTTATATATTCTTTTTGTTTCCATATAAAAGATGATGTATGATACGTATGCAACTTCTTCTATGCTTTTGTGTATGCATGCATAGGCAGCAAGAATGGATATTTGAATTGGGCATGCATCATGGTGAACCAGTAAGAAAATCGTTCAGATCTAAGTTGTTTGGCCGTAATGTGAAGTGTGAACTATGTCAGCCAGCATCAACTGGGAGTTCATCCCATTAACTGTTCAGGTTGCTGCCCGGAAAACATGTTGTAGGGATGGGTAAATGCATGCCTATGGGGCCTATGGAACCAAGTCTTTGATTTCCAGCTGGAGTTCCATGTGACATGGGACCGTTGATCTTTGTGTTGCTCTTTTAAGATAACCAATTTCAATGATGTGGGAGCAGTAATTATACACTATAAATGTTGGCAAGCGTTTTCACTTTCGTGCGGCACGGCGCTCAAGATTCTTCATTCTTGACTAAAAACGGAGAGGCTCCCACAAATACATACAAATACTACATGTATCAAAAAGTGCTGTCATTTGCAACTTGATTACAGTAATGTTCGTAAAGCAATGGGATTTATCATCCCCAATGACGACTACCATCCCATGGTTTTCTTGCTGGAAATTCCAAGCATCTATCCCCATGGCTCGGGGTGGTTTCCAAAAATGGGGGTAGTTGGGTACATCTACCCTCCAGTAAATTAACATAGACCCTAGGGCCCTAGGGGATGGAATAACCATTGATAGCTTATTATTAGCCACTACTAACCATTAGTCAATATTGATAACCATTGTTAACCATTGATAACCACGATTTACCGGAGGGTATTAACCATTTCAATCCCAAGACTTGATTCAAATTTTCCAGGCCACCGATGCAGCCGCGGAAGCCGACGATGAAGCTGGAGAAGGCCCGGTGCCGATTTCGCGGCAGCCCAGCAGAGGTCTGGGAGTTTTTTTTTTAGGGAACCACAGGGAACCATGTCCAAAAATGTCCAAAAGTGTCCAAAAACCATTGTGGAAATCATTGATTTGAGGAAACCATGGTAACCATGGGATTTTATTTTACCCAAAATCATGCTGTTTGGGAGTCTAGTTTGCTGAACATGAAGTTTACCACATTCTTTGTTCCTTCGTTTTCTTTTGATCAGCGGGTCAGGTGAAGAAGAAGAGGCTGAGGAAGGAGATGACGAAGTTGATATGGAGGTAGGACGACTCCAGCTGGGGACATGATATCTATCACCCTCTGGTTATGTCAAACATAGCTATTGAAAATGGCCATTTATAGTGGATATGCCCATTAATAGCATGGTGATGTTCCATAGATTTTTGTATGTTTACCAGAGGGTATACCTTTAGAATCCTTTAGACATAGCAAACATTGGCGCTTATTAATAGACCTGATGTTTCATGAAAATTGTCGCAATATGTGGAGTTGATTCTGGTTTTATTCTTGGCTAAATCATCCCGAAATAAAAAGAAACTTAATGTTTTAAAGCTGCGGCTGTAGTTTACCACCTTCCCAATATTCGCAGCAAAGATCAGTCGGGGCAAGGTATCCCCGAGTGCCATTGTCGGCAGTGGCGGATTTATGGTATCCTTGGCAGGAAATGGTTTTCAACACCACTTGTCACTTGTCCATGCATGACAGTTTCCGTTAACCATCACCCTTGAAAATTTGCTGTTCAAGATTCTTCCATTTTTACGTGTCGTTGGCGCAGGCTCCTTTTCATATGTTTGATTGGTGTGGCGTTCAAACAAATCCGGAATTTGTCTGAGGGATCATTTCAACATGATATTGATGGGAAAACCCGCATCATGTAAACGATAGATAGAAATAGATGGATTGGCAACTATGTGATTTTTTATCCGGATGTCTCATCAGACAATCCTCCCATGTGTAAAGGATCATGATTGGTGGTTGAAACCACCGATCAGATAAAGTGCTTGGTTAATACTCCGTTTTTGGTAGTTAGGACTCCCGATTGTTCTGCTACTTAATTAGTTGATATTGGTTGTATTTTATGACGCATCCCATTGACTCCCTTCAAAATGGACAATTAATGATAGCAGAGACCAGAAAATGGATAATTGTATCCAGAAAACATCATATTCACCAATGTTTCTCACTCCAGTTCCATTCCTATCCATGTCGTTCTTTTCAGCATCAATTTATGGATTGATTTGATGGACACTTTCTTTGCAGGTCCCTATAAAATGGATACTGTAGTGTGACTCGTGACGAATATCTACTACTAATATCACCAATCAATCCTTATAAGATGGCCACTAAGAACACTAAGATCCACTAATCACACTAATATCCTATAATAATACATTAATATCCACCTTGGGTATCCTTGGGTTTTGATACATTTGCGCTCTCAGGCGGAGTCGCGCAACGCTTTCCTGGCGGAGGCCTCTACACCGGAGCTGATCAAACAGGCGGTGGCTGTACCTCGGACAACGACGTCTCTTTTTGATTGTTAATTGTGCGGTTTTTATATATATATATATATATATATAGATTTAAATATATCAGGAACCTCCAAACCCTAGGAAAGTTCGGGTGCGACTGGAAACATGAGGAAAAGTTCTGGTTTGTATGTGTATATATATATATATATATATGCAAATGATTCTCAAAGCCGTTCATACAATGTCTATGTTATTATGTTGGTGATGCTGCTTATTTATGCTTATTTCATTGCATATAATCATTGCAAGTACGTTCCCACTATTGTCACTATTGGTTGGAAGGACTGATTTGCAACCTCTTGGCGATAAAATTCATAGCTTATTGAGGAACACCTAAAAGAAAACCTCATTATATTGTGGTAAGGCTCTACCTATCCAGACTTGGGTTGAAGGGAACATTTAGAGGATTTATAGATTTTGGGGATAAACCCGTGTTTCAACCGTAAAAAGCGTCCGTCAAATCAATCCATAATTTGATCCTGATTTTTGGAACAAATATGGTGCCTCCATTTTTAAGGAGTGACATTGACAAAGATGATGTTTTCTGGATCAAAAATTGCATTTCTTTGTTGCCATGTTTGTTTTTGGCTGATGTAAACATAGGGTAACTCACTGGGGGTTAACAAGCTGGGAGAACGACGAGGTGATAGAGGTTGGAAGTTGAGTTGGCGGTTTGAAGGCTTCCATGTTACATTTTTTTGGGGCAATTGCTAGCTAACATGTACTGTAGATGGTGTGATGTGGTGAGCGGGTTATGCTTCCCAAAAGTTTTTTTGGTGAAATTCAATGAAGGACAAAATGAACTGACCCTCCAGCACGTGCCGATTTCAATGGTTGCAGAAAAGAAAGCAACTTGAAGACTGGTATTGGCGGATCTGCATTGTAGACAACGCTGTTTGATTTCATCAATGCTATGTTTGCACAGATTGTCACCTAATTGTTCGCTGATATTGGATGATATTGGTTTATTTAGTTTGATAAAAACCCTGGTATTCCTAAATTACATTACTGCTTGGTGAACTGGTGAAGCCCGGTTTTCAGCACCTCTAGGTGTCCAATCCCAGGTTGGGGGACCTTTGGCAGATTCCACCAAAGACAAGTGGGTTGCTCGGTCGCGAAAAAATGGGGCCTTTTGTTTCTGTCCCGGAGAAATGGATAGAAATTTCTCGGCTGGTTCAGCGGCTATGACGGCTATGAATCAATCAAATCTGGGGAGATCTCAGGATTTTTTTCGGAAAACGTGACTGGGCAAACTGACTCGTGGTCATTTCTGTCGGCCACAATTAATGATTATTTCATATGATTATATCTATAAATTTGGTGGTGCTATGTTATTGTTGTGGGTTGGGATTCCACTGGTCAGTCGTGCATGTAATTTGCTGTCACTACAAGATTATGGTTATGACTTTTTGTGTGGGATGATTCTTTGAGTTGCATCAAACAGTATCAGTAACATATATGTACCACATAAATGCATGAATAGAGAAGAATTGCTGATACTCTCTGGTAAACTAACATAGCTACGGGAAAAAGACTGTTCAATGGTAAATAAACTATAAATGGGCTATGGCTTCCATAGCAAACTACAACAAATCACCAGAGGATAAATCCCACTACTATTTCCACTTTTGTTGGTGAAATTCCCATTACTGGCCGCAAATTCCCATTCAATTCCATTTAGCCACCCTTTGGTAATCAGCCACGGCAATGAACAATCCCTCATTTATAGATGATTTTCCCATGAAAACCTCCATTTGTAGGGCATGTCCAGCCAGCCATGTTTGATTACCAGACGGTATTTTAAATTGCCATAAGTTGCCAGAGGCAAACGCAGAAATGCACATCCACAGAATGATCCCTGAGGTCTTAGATCAGGCAACTCAGCTGTACTTCAAGTACGACTCCCCTCGACAGAAGCCTCTTGGTGGCCCTGGCCGTGGCCCACCCAAGTGCCGTGGTGCTGGTGAAATGCCAAGCCACCAAAAGTGATGGAAAAAATTGGCGGAACTACCAATTCTGGTGGTTAACTATCAAAATCGATGGTTTAAGAACCCCCAAATGATCAAATGAGAGTGTGACATAGTGACATAGTGTGACCATGTGTGACCTGGTTTGACACGATCAACTGGTTTGAGGGAAGAACGTCACAGGACACCTGCATATTTGGGAGTAGAAACATATAGAAACCACGGTCTCCTGTAGACTCTGTAGACTGTGACCTGAGGATGTTTTGCTGGAATACATCACAAGGCAGGGTGCCTTTTGGCAACGATGGGCCCCTAGGGCTGCGGATAATTGAAGGACTGGACGGAGCCTATCACGGTAGTGGCTTGTCAGATGAGAAGCCACTCCAACCCACACCAAGTGGCTATTCCAACACCACCATGGGGAAAACACCTGTTCCGTGCATGAATACGATAGAGGTTGAAGTACATCATGAGAAAATCTATGGAATGCAAAGTTTCGCATATTTATCAATTTATCAACCACCTGAAACTATTACAATCATTTTTTTACCACTGGTGCACGTCCCCACGGTAAATACTTTGTGGCTGGCCAATTGGGTAACACGTTGGAAAAATGTAGCAGAACTGGCCTATGGCGCTTTGGTGACATGCTACGGCAACAGAATTCGCCAGAGAATGATAGAGATGAAGAGTCAAGAGTTCCCCGTTTCTCATGTAGCTTTTCTCCGACGTAGCGGTTTGTGAATGCATCCCTGTTGCCGCAGGCTGCATGTATCACTGGAAGGAAAGAGGTCACTCGGCCATGCTGCGCCCTTGTTGGACGGGTCTTGTTGTGACACCCCGCGACAGAAAGTTTGGGATGGATGATCTTTTTGACAATGGCATTGTCATTTCCTGTGGACAATGGGACAGCAGTGGTAGTGTATATATCCACTGGTTCTATCATAATATATATATATACATATGTATAGATATATGCATAAAAGCATCCTCTATGTAATGTTTCTTAGTTAAAAAAACACTTTTCTAGTTTTTTAATAGTTGTATATTCCTTTTGCTCTAGGGAAAACTGTTGGAAGTCTCGGCAGAACATATTCCTAGTTAATAACTACATTTACACTAACCTGATCTGTTTATAATAGACAAAAGAGATACATATTACCATAATTGTCATAATTATATATAATTATGATTATCTGGTTGGTGGTTTGGAACATGTTTATTTTCCATAGTATATGGGATAATCCTTCCCATTGTTTAATATTTTTCAAGATGGTTAAAAAAACACCAAGCAGTCATTCAGAATTATGAGTATTGATAAAGTAACATTATTTATTGATAATAATAACATTACTGATTCCTAATTGATCATATTTACTATAATATTCATTCCATTTATGACTATTATTGATAAAGTAACATTAATATTATTTAACATGAGTATAAAATATTTAAATTTTCAACATTAGTAAATTTATTAGTTATATAATTATTAATATTTTCCATATAATGTTATTACTATACTATTTCCCGCCGCCCAAGGCAAGATGACCTTCCTCTGGGCTGCCCCTGGTGGCGCCGGCACCCCACCGCCCGCCTCAGTGGAACACTTGGCACCGGCCGTGGCACCGGCGCCGGTGGCGCCGGCCGTTCCGGAGGCGCCGGTTGCAACGAGGGTTTTTTTGGATGGGAAAGCACCGAAAAATGGTGGATTTATGAGAAATCTATGGGGAATTCACGAATATTCACGGGATTTACGGAGATTATGAAGTATTGAGGAATCATGGGAGATTTCGAGGGGGAGATAAAGATGGGTAGTTTATTGGATGATGATAAAAATCGACAGAACTGGGTTGAGAATGAAGATTAATCAACATAAAAATTGGGGAAATGGGATGTTCGCCAGGTAAACCAACAAAGACAATTGGAACATCTACTTTTGACCACCAAAGTATGGGATTGAATCAAACAACATGGTCATGGCCAACGAAATTGTGTGAAACTAGATTTTGTTACCAACAATGACAATATTTGTCAGGTTGAATTGCCAGAGGCTAATCTTCATCATATCCCCATGGCACCTCTCATTTTTCGATGATCAAGACCACCAACCATCAATTTTGTAGGTTTATGTGCAGGTTCAATCGCTATTTGTAGAAGTGTGTTTCAAAATTGTTATCCCTATGACATGATGATTTTCCAATGTTCAGATGATTTTACAGGATGGTGCCCCCCAGTTAGAAGTTGGTTTATAAACCATTATAAACCCCATGAACTAGTTCGTTCTATCTACCCTGAACAAAGAGATTCAACGTTTCTGTAAATATAAATTTATAGCTAGTCAAACCATAAATTTATAAAATTATAGCTATAGTGTAAGCATAGAATTCAGCCACTCCCCATCCATGGCACCAGGTTGCTGCCCAAGCCTCGGAGCCTGAGCCAAGTGCCACAAGCAGCTTAGCTGAGAGGTTTTGGGGGACTTCCAGTGAAAATTGAGATTTAACTGGAAGTAATGATAACTAACCATTTATACCTGGAATTGTTGTAATCATGGTAACTTAGTCTTATAATGCTAACGAACCAGTATTATCATGATAACTACCAGTAATAACTATATAACCATTATTGTTTTTATAGTTATCATTAGTTAACCATTTATGACCAGTTGCAGTATATACTATAGGAATGATAACTATAGCTATGCTACAAAATCTACAAATTGATTGTGTTGTTTTTTTTTGTGTTTTTCTTTGTTTGTTTTTGTTTACTGGGATGACATAGATGACAAAAGACAAGGGCTTCACCAACAATAGTAATGTCATTCACCCTGTAGAAAGAGAGGCTTGGATACCGTACAGCATGATACAGCCATTTGGATCGGGTTACTGCCTGAACTCATATTTTCAAGATGCCGTCCAGCAACCTTGGCTGCAAGAAACTTGGACAGTCTTTGAAGTGTCATCCAGCCGATCCCTTGATGATACTAAATAAATCCATAATTTGTGCCAGAATGAATAGATCCATGGGTACAAAACACAGTTTTTTGCGTGGTATTTCAGTTTAGGGGGATGTTTTCTTTTTTTGCGGAACCAAGCACATTTGGATCCAATATCATGCTGATGAGCACAGTCCCAGCAATGCCACCACCACCCTGTGCTGGAGAAGCAACAGGGTTCCAATGACTCCTCCAGCGCTGGAGTTGAGCCAGTGCGGTTAGGATGTGGAATTCTTCTAGTTGGCAACAATTTGCGGTTGCCATCCAATATGATTTTGCAACTGTTGGGCTGTTCGTTGACAAAGCACATTTTTGTTGAAGAACAAACAAACAGTTCCCGGCGTTGGCTGGATGAATTCCCAAAGTCCGAAAAAACTCTGGCTGGTCGAAATCCAAGTGTTTCTAACGCTTAACTTAACTCCCCATGATTTGGGGTTATTTTTTTGGCTTCCATGATCTTCCATGGTCAATGGTCAAAATCGTAAATCATGACAGTCAACATAGGTCAACATTAGTCACCTTTGGAGTAAAAAAGAACACATGTATAGACAGAACGATTTACAAATAGACGCTTAGTTCAAAACAATCGCTTTTTGTGCTTTTGATTGGTTTTAGACATTTTTTAGACATATACTGGTTGGTGGTTTCAAACATACTTTTATTTTCCATTTCATATATGGGATGTCATCCTTCCCATTGACAAACTCATATTTTTCAAGATGGTTATATAAAACCACCAACCAGAGACTCTCTTAGCATCAAAATTCAGGTCCCATTTGATCCCAATTTTCAGTGGTTTGATCTCTCCCAGGTCAGGTGGCCTTATGGGTGACCATCATTCCACCGCAAGTCCTCACCGCAGACTTCGAGGACGCCAATGCCCAGGCGCGGCTCGAGGGTTGCGGCTGGAGGGTTACCATGACTAGTGGCATAAATCTTAGTCCTAGCTTTCTGTGTTTTCTATTACTATATATATATATATGATATCATATATATATATATGTGTGTGCGTGTGTGTGATAGTGTATGTAGAGCAGTTAATAGATATAGTTGGCGTAAATCCTTGTCTTTACCATAGCTTCCTGGGATTCCAAGCACGTTCTCACCATAAAAATTGTCTTAAAGTACCTATATCATTACCCATCCAAAGTGGTGAATGATTGGATTTTGAGACCTCCGTCAAGGCTGAAGAGGAAATTGAGCTCAATGCCAAAGCCATGGGCGCTGTGATCGGTAAGGGCGGCAAAGGCCCTGCTTCGGGACAGCTGCATGGTGGATGGGGGATGCTTGGGGCCCTAGAAAATGGTGCGGGCAATCTATTTTTTGATTAGTTGGTTAGTCGGTGATTTATTTAGGGAACCAAAAAAGGGCCTAAAAGAACAAAAACTGATAGGATTTGACGAGAGTTGATTGTTTTTGCTTGCTTTTGATGTGTGTTTTCACCTTTGAAGGGACAAGCATGAGGTTCTGGTGGGCGCAACTGACAATACTCTGAGGGTTTCTCGCTGATATGTCATGGACAGTGTATGGACACTCATTCAATTTCTTGAGGGTACGTCGTGTGTATATGTGTATGGGCAGCGCCAGCCTTCCGGGCCCGATGGCCCGGTTCAGCCAGGCATCAAAGAGATTGAGCAAGCGACTGGCATCTGACTTGCACACAGAGGATTGTTGGAGATGTTGGATTATTTGACCCCAGATCAAATCACTTTGGATGGATGAATCACTTCTGTTCATTGATATGAATATTGCTTCTCCATTTCCTGCCTGATATTCCAGTATCCCAAGTAAAACCACAGTATCAGAGCCGCTTCATGGCGGGTCCAATGCATTTTGCCAGCTGAGGTGTCAAAGCTACAACATTGAATGCCAGGCCGATAGTGATGATAGTGTCCAGTCGACCCCCCCAATCCGGATGGAATTTCTCTGGAAGAAAATGGCAATCCAGTGGGTGTCATAGTCTTGACATGCTGGCACTCTGTCATGTCAGATTGACTGAGGATAAAATCATAAGTCGGGTCGAGGGTCGCAATCGACAACAGCCAATTGATCCAACTCCATCCAGCAACACGTGTGGCTTGACTGATGTTGTAACGCCCTCAGGGCTGGAATCTTCATAACTTCATAGGTTTTCCATGGCCATGCTATAGATCTATAGTGTAAATCAATAATTGACCAATATTCCAAGCCACGAGACCAAACATTCACAGTATCCCTTCAAAAAACTGGCAGCGATGCGTAGGTTGTGGCGTCCCCAGCTTCACAACATGAATTGAGTAAACATACCATCCACCTGTTTTTTCAACACATCAGATCGGCATTTCGGCATTCGCAACTCACATCCTGGGCCAGGGAGGAGGCCGGTGGACAACGTCGCGTGGTGCTCTCGGGCTCCAAGGCGCAGATCTCGCAGGGGAAGAGCGCCATCGAGCAGCGCATTGTGATGGTCCTGGGGATGAAGATGGCCGAGAAGGTGACGATGCCTAGGGATGGGGACAGGGCTACAAGGGGGGGGGCTGCAAGGAAAGCCCAGCTATGTGTTGGTTGAAATGTCATGAAATGTCCATAGATTATATAGTTGAATTCGATGGTTTATGCATGTTTATGGATGTCTATGTAAGATACGGTTTCACCATTGGACATGGCGGTTTTTGATGGTTCCATGGTCAGATTTCTGAGGTGCATCACTCACCTCCCCGACCTCCCCCAAGCAAAGCCCAGGTGCAAAAACACTGGAGCAGTCAACTCTTAGAGAAGATGCTGGGCGTCTATGGGAGATGAATATGATATACATGGGGATATACCCTCTGGTTATTTAACATAGCCATGGTATAGATGGCCCATTGATAGATGATTTTCCCATTAAAACATCCATTTATTTTTGGGATTTTCCACGGCGATGTTAGTCATAACCAGATGGTTTTTGGGGATTCAACCACCGATACCATGTGGTAACCAATGGGGACATGCTGAGTAACTGGGATTCGCTGAGTTCATGGATTGTTCACCAGATTAACGGCGTTAACGGTTGGGTTTATGCCACTGGAAAAAGGGCAGATACCCTCTGGTAAACGTTTACATGGCTATGGAAAGATCCACCATTTTTCATGGGAAAACTCACTATTTCTATGGCCATTTTCAATAGCTATGTTAAATTACCAGATGGTATATCAAACTTGATAGTGGGGTGGTGAATAAGCCAGCAGAACTGGGGTTATACCACCTTCTACATGGTGGAGTGGCGAGTCAACCAACAAACACTTGAGAAACCTGGGATCAAAGTTCAATCAACAAATTTAGTCTAGGATGAAATGGGAGTTGAATACCAGCAGTGTAACAGCAACGGGAATTCTACCGGCTTTCCTGGCCCAAATCGGCCCGTAATCCCTCAGATTCTGGGATGGAACATCTCAGATTTTTGGGACCACATCGCATCAGATACCCTCTGGTAATGTCAAAATAGTTTATAGGGAGTTTTCCCATTGAAAATTGTGATTTTCGATAGCCATGTTAGTTTACCAGAGGGTAATCATAATTAATCATACCGATCATACCTTTTGCTACTCACTGCCGTCGCTGCCGAACCCCTGAACCAGATGGAGGTTGTACTGGGAAAATCTTTGAACTAACATGGGAGGTTTCCGCTGCCATGTTTGATTACCAGAGGGAACGCCAGTTTCAATGCCTGATGTTGAGAGTCTTGAGTTTGTGTGCTATGATCTCCACCCTTCATACACACCACTGAATGTGCCAAATCTATCCGTGCTTCATACTTTCAGCATCTTTCAGCAAAAACCACCACAAGCACCCCAACCACCATCACCACTGGGTTTCAAAAGCAGTTCAGGGTGTCAATTTTTTGCTATGCGACTAGATTCCTGTTGAACAATTCCACATATATGTTTCCATCACTTTCCCCTGAAATCATGCCCGGCTGCCGGTCCAAAAGGAAGCGAACTGAGACGGGCTCGGAAGCCGCCAAGAGCGGGGTCCGCGGCCTGAGCGACTTCGTGTCCCTCGACGAATCGGGATTTGTCTCCCGGGGGTTGTAAGGCCAAATCCGAAAAGATCGACGAGCAATTCATCACGATTTTGTGTGGGAGTTTACTCTTCTATCTTTTGGTTGGTTGCTATATATCCTGTTTTATCCCCATAATCTCAGCATGTTTGGTGGTAAAATATAGCAGAATCTTTGTTTTTTCCATGGTTAAATCATGTTAAATCCCAGTTAGTATGATGAAATCTCGGGAAAAAAACAATTTTTGTCCATTATAGCTTCAGATATATCATGATATATCTACCATGATCTATCAGTTTATCTATCATTAACGGGCGCCCGTTTCCCCTTCATTTCCCCATGTTTTCCCGCCAGGCTGGAGCACGGCTTGAAGGCCGTCATGGCACGGAAGCTGGCCAAGTTGGACGCCCAGCTGCAACGCGCCTCGGATGGTGGAAACATCCATATCGGATGATGGAAATAGGAGGGAATTGAAGAAGGTTTTGAACCCAAAGATCTGACAAAATCTGGGATATAATTAAATATATAACGTACATTATATATACATATATATATATACAAAGAAGTATGTGTGTGTGTGATGGCATTGGGATATACCATGATTGCCATTTTTGGTGTATTTAGTTGAACAATATGGGGAAATATGTCGGAATATTGAATATATGGGATAAAACTACCATATAAAACCAACAATAGTGGGGGGTATGATACGGGATATGTAACCAACGAAAACGGGATTACAATGGGGAGATGAATGGGAATTTATAATGTGTTTATGGTGTTCAACCTAACATATGGGATATTGATATTATAGACATAGATGTATCTAGTTGAGTTAGATGTTTTAATGGAAGGTTAAACAACAATCTGCGGATCTTTAGGTTGCTGCTTCTCCACATGTGAAACTAGATGCCGAGATGGGAAACCCAGGATAAATAAATAGGGATTAAGTATCCAGCAAACGAACCAAGAACCAAGAACTACAGTATTGAAATCATTGCTGCCTCTCTTGCAGAAATGATCTACTTTCATGGTTTGTTTGCAAGATCTAGGTCAATTTATTTCTAGATGAATTATATATGTTGCGTCCTCACTGAAACGTTGCTGTAACGGATGGTTAGCAGCAGCAATTACCCCTAAAAACACCTTTCAGATTTGAATGTATCCATACATGTCCATATATATATATATACACATATATGTCTCTTAAAAAGAAAAAGGAGCTACAGTACTAATTAAGAGCCTTCTTCAATCACATGATCAACGTGATCATCAATTTTCAAAGACGTGTGATTTGACAGATTGCATAATGCAACTTTTGCTTCTGAGTGTTTGCCCCAAGTTTAATTCACACTTGGTGGTGCATCCTGGCAACTGGATGATGATATGATAACCTATAGTTCACAGGGGTAATCTCCCTATAACTGGCTCGTAATTTGGGTCATGGCTCCAGGCTACATGATCCGGCATTTCCAGCCCATGCACCTTGCTGAGAAGGGGACTGTGGTGAGATGTCAGGAAAGGGGTTTGTCTGATCACATGTTGGTGGTTGGTGAAAACATGTAGCTTAGACATGTTTGATGTTCATATATGTTCACAATTTCTAAGTGTAGCCAATATATTATAGCAAACACAAAAACTTGCTTACATTGTTGCTGTGTACCTGGAAGTTTGCCCGCTATGTACATTTTGATATGATTATCAATACAGCCTCGAACGGGATACAACTCAAAGACGGGCAAATGTAGGGGTTTGAGGCGAACATGTTTTATCATGACTATTTATCCTGTATGATTCTCCCAGCACTGTGATTCTCTCAGCGAGGTGCCAAGAGTGAAATGACCCGTCCCAATTTCAAACTACAGTGGTGTGGTTTCTTTGAATTGGGGACCTCTAAATTGGTACAAAAGAGAAGGGTCAAGCAATTCTTTCATATTGTTTCCTGGTGGTGTCATGTCCTATCTTGAAAGAAACCAGTACGGTTTACGGGGCGGTGTGGTGCTGGGATGATACTAGGATAATCATGGATAATCCATCCGCTGACAGTTTTTTCTAGTTTGGGCTGGACTACTAAAATGTTGTGTTCTTAGGGCCTAATTATCATTACAAATCAGTGAACTGGTGAGCTCAGGAGAACTCCCCCCCCCGCCGCGGTGAATGCCCAGGAAAGCCAAAGCGGTGAATGCCCTGAGAGGAGCCCGTTTGCTCTTTGGGAATGTTCCACCAGGAAAAGATGTGGATTGAATCCTTTACCCTCTGGTAAACTAACATAGCTATTGAAAATGGCCATTTATAGTGGATTTTCCCATTAAAAATTGTGATTTTCCATAGCTATGTTAAATTACCAGAGGGTAACCAAGCAAAAACAAAAAGATCACCCACCGTTTGAGAATGCCATATGTGTGGGTATGTTTCTTAGGTGCCCGGGTTTTTTAGTTCATATGTGGTGACCAGACCTTGCATGAACACACATATTAGTATGATTACGTCTCCAGGTGACCGGGTTTCTCAAACTTGGATGTTATGTATGGCTGTGCAAGGATGACCAGCCAGTTGCTGAGACATTGACATCCCATTTATCCTGACTCAAACTCATCTCGCTGACTCAAACTATGCACCTACACCGCAATTTTACAGCCAAGGATTATCGGCACCACTCACCCTTATCATTTCCCTCTTGACTGATGATAAAAATATCAAGTAAATATTAAATCTCAACCCTTTTTGGGTTATATTCATCAATTCAATCCTCAACTTGGAGTTTGTCCCTTTTTGCCCACAGAATTGTCCTCCACTATGTTGAGTATATACAAGATTATACAAGTAGTCAGTAATTTTCATCATTTTTCAGCTATACATGGTTGTGTAACATCAACCCAAGATGATGATCCCAGTCCCCAACAGGATATTTGACGCAGCTCTTCAAATATCCCCAGCGCTGGAGATTAGAAGCTCTTTACGAAGATGGCCGGGTGGGTCAAGGGTTACACGGGTCAACACAGATCAACACTGGGGGCACTCCCGGCACCACCTTGTGGACAGTGTCAGCAAGTTTCAGGTTTGCTACTGGTAGTGTAAACTGATCAATTATATCACATGAAGCTTAATTGAGAATGATCAAGGTTATGAGACATGAGATATACAATTATATACGCACATTATATGATATATACAATTATATACACATATGATATGATATATACACAACGTTTTAAATGTTTAATTATGTTCAGCATGGATTTTTCAGGCCCTGAAACATGGTCACGGAAAACCGTGATACGTGGATTGACATGCAGTTTTCCAGTTCCGATGTTTTTTTTTTTAAATCAAATGTAGCACATTCAAAAACAGATTCGCAAACTAATTGTCACACCATTTGAAGAGTAGATTTTATTTCTCTATTTTTCAGATTCTTCTAGAATGCCCATGCCGTGTGTTTCCCCCCATCGTGCGCTGGGGCCGCAAGGCGAGCTGGATGGGGAGATTTGTGAGACTATTCCGCTCCGCGGCAGCGGGATGGTCTTGGGCAAGAGCCCAGAAGAAGGGGAACAGGCGATCGAAATCGAGGTGAACACAGCTCTAGGCCGGAGCTGTTTGTGTTAAGGAATGGAGGTCAAGGGGAAGATGCAGCAAAATGGGGATGATCTGAAAGCTTCTATTGGAGTTTAAAAGTGATTGGAGACGGGTTTGTTCTATAGGTACCATTTGGGTTCCAGTGGCTATCCAACAAGTTCCCCAAGTTAGCATTTGATATCCTGTGTCGTTGGCAGATGAACAGATTCAACTTGCGAGCTGGAAGATTGCAGGGGAAATCTTAGATGGCTTCAGTATTAGTAAAATTGATCCATGTGGGTTTGTCTGAAAACACTACCCCCAAGTCCATTGCTTAGTCACCATGTTTCCTACAACAATTGCCCCATGTTCAGACACATCATGACACATTCAAATATCATATTGTTGTTAGTTGTTTATATAATACTTGTGAATCATAAAGCCTCACATTCCCATTATATCAATTATATCTGATTCAATCCCATTATATAACTTTCACTGTAATCCCATGATTATCCCACTAAATCATATCAAGTTGGTAGCGAAGTTAACATGGCAGGGCGATATCCAGAAGTTGACACGATATCCATCAGCCTCCAGGACAAAAAGAGGCATCCAAGATCTACGGCGATGTACAGGAGCCACGTGGCCAGAGCCGTGATGCCACTTCAGTGGCTTTCGCCGACGCGACTGTTGTGGTGGGAAAAAAATACAAGGAGATGATTAAAAAAATGTCCACAACAGTTGCTTGCTTTTGATTTCACTGTTTCACTGATGAAAAATGTTCTGCTTGGAACATTGGTGCCATTTAGTTAGGCTTCTTGGAACAGACTCTGCTCTGATTTGCCTCACATCACAATTCTTGATGGCCAAATGATCCTAAATCATGCTAAATCCCAATTCTGAATGCTTATGTAAATATATGCTTATACATCCCGTTTTTCATGTAGGGAGTTATTCATGGTTAAACACATTTGAAACTAAACCATGTCATTTTGAGAGGTCAAATTCCTTGTCCAATGCCTCAAAATCTCGTTCAAATTTCCAGATTGATCCAAATGTGAATGTCTACCACCTTTCAAAAGCATATCCACTTTCAATTTCTGCTGTTGACATCCCTGAAAACCATCATTTTTCCAAGGAAACCCACATAAATCATCATAAATCCAGCAATTCCTCCAAGGCAAAGCCCTTATTTTTGGCCGCTGGCCGCAGCATCACCAGGACCAGCACTGCCGCTTGCACCGCATGGGCAACGACTTCTACGTTATGGCCTTGGAGTCGCAGATTGGGACGCTGGTGGATGGACAGTACCTGGGCTGGTAACTAGTGGATATGATATATTTGAAACGTATATTTATATATATATATGTATATTTATATTCACATAAAATATAACATTTTTCATTTATATACATAGTTGTTTATTTATTTGATGTATTATATTATATCAAGTTGTCTTAAAATAGTTTATTTATATTTATATATATTAAGTTTAAAATACATTTTTTTTAAATTTAATATCATGTTGGAATGTACTTGGTTTTGTTTCATGTTATATAATTTTATTTGATGTGATGTTTTATTATGTGGTTTTATTGTTTACATTACTGTACTGTATACATACTTTTGTTATAATATTAAATTGTATGATGATATCTTTTTGTAGTATAGTTTACTATACTAATATGTTATTAAATCCAATTATATTATATATATCATATTAGGGATGATTGGGGATGCAACACTGTTTTTTTCAACATTATTCCCCCTAAACCCAGTAGTATATGGACTGCCCTCCATTAAACTCACATAGCTATGGAAAATCCACCCATGTATGGACTATTTTCCCACTAAAGCACCATTTGTAGTGGATTGTCAACTGCCGTGCTTGTTTACTGGAAGGTATACTGGTATAATGGGGTACAATGGGAAGGGGATTTTTGATCATGGGTTCATCAGGGCTTGATGGGATATACCGGAGCAGACATCAGCCTGAAGGCGACGGAGAAAAAGACAGAGAGAGAGAGGGAGAGAAACAAGATGGGGATATAGTGGGATACCATGGGGATATATTATATTTGTGTAGAATCTAAGGACCGCAACGAAATGATGAGGAAATGGTTGGGAACCCATTGGAACATGAAGGGTTGAGCCACACACATGCAGTCTTATCCAACAGCAATGCAGGATGATGTCTTATACAACAATGGGAATTAACACGCCGTTAATACGCACTATCTTCTTTTGTGAATCAATGGGAGCATTGCCACTTTTTTCGCATATGTGGGGGTATGATAGCTCATCTCAACTAAGGGTTTAACCACCGCATATGTTAACCATATGGTATGAACTGATTTGAAGATAGATACGCCAAAAAACATGTGCATGGTGAATACATTGCGAAGCTCATTTGCGATAGTGGCATGCCAATGTTGCCTGCTGCCTGCATGGTCTGCATGATTTCTGTGTTGGTGTTGGTGCGTGGTCAAGATATAATATGTTTGTGTCCGGCATCATGCATTTGCAACCGCACTTTCACATGTAAGGCATGAGAGTGTGCATGCTGACGTTCGGACCAAAATCTTTTCAAGTATATATCTTTGATGTTTGATTTCCTATTTAGGATGATGCTCCCAAGCCAACAATGATCCCAAACTTTCTCTTACGAAAACTTTCTAGGACCTCCCCAATTTTAGACATTATCCACATCTATAATTTGTGACAATGCCTGTGGCTTTACTGGGCTTTACGGCCCAGAAAAAGCATCCGGATCCAGCGGTGCCATGGGGCCATGCTGCTGAGGAAGATCCGGCACCATGATGGGCCCGTGCCCTTGCGCGATGGTACCACTCTGGGCGTTGGGTTGCTTGGCGATGATTGGATGGCGTTGGAGTTGTTTGTTGTGATTTGTAAAGGTGTAAACCATGGTAATTCTCGAAATTTTGATGCCAACGCAGAAGTTTGAACAACACCCAAAACATGTAAGATTTCTGACGGGGTGCTCTATACATCCAAAGTTTGAGAAACTGTTGCCGTTTAAGAGTGTGCTGCTTGTCTCCTCCTCTTCTTTCGTACACCTGGAATTTGCAGGGCCGACTCGCCAAGGAAGTACCTCTTCTACTGCGAAGTGGGGAGTGAAACTTTCCTTCAGGCATGGATAATAGTTGTCACTGATTGAAATCCGTAGCATGCCTCCACAAAGATCAAAAAGATAAAGATACTATAGGTCTCTAATGGTCTCTAGCCTTTATGATCTTTTGTCACATGTTGACCCAAATTTCGCCAGTCTTGGATGATCGTTGATCTGTCGTCCAGGAGCGTCGGAAGAAGCTCTTGGCGGGAGAGAGGCCGCTCGGTGGAGACACTGTGCAGCTGTGGTCGAAGGTGTAGCTATAAGGGGCGACTTCCAAGGTGGGACCCCAGTTCGTTGGTGAAGTTGGTTTATAATGGTAGATTTATCAAACCAGTAAATGGTAGTTATAGATCAACTTACAACTGGGTTGCACCAGCTTGTACCTGTCCATCTCCGGGCTTCCATATATTCGGGCGCCTCACAACGACCTGGCATTACCTGACTGTAAATGAGGCTAAGCAAGGGGAATCATCCACATAATTGGGTTTGCTTTAGTGTATGTCTTACTGGTGCTAAACGTAGGGAATGGATGGGTTGCTGGGGGTTGCTGGGATGATTATTACTAGTGATGACTGGGGTGATTATGGATCATTCCCGAAAATTCCCTACGTTTAGCTCCAGTAAGATGTTGCCTGGTCCACGGGCAGATCTGATCGGAAGAGATCTCCCAGTGATCCTTTGGGTCGATGCTAAAATGTGCCCATGAAGGTCGACGCTTCGTTGCCCCCAGGTAAAGTAACGTAGCTATGGAAAATCCCCATGTTTGATAGGTAAATCAACTATCCATGGCCATTTTCAATAGCAAACCGTTAAATTACCGAGATAACTAGAACCCAATGTCAGGGAATCATTTTCCAGGCTCCCAGACCCATATTTTTTTGAGTTCTCTTTCATGTTACCTACTCTCCGACAGTCAAACGTGGGAATAGATTGAATAGATAGTCCTTTCTAAATAGCCGTCTTACTGGGAACATGATGGAACTAAATGGAGAATTCTTGAGAGAGAATGTTTGATTCGGGAGGGTATACCCTATTGTTCGCCTATTATATCCCAATTATATGTCCAGAAATCCCCATGATATTCCCAGTACTATCCCCAAGTATACACCTATATTACCCTCTGGTAAACAAACATAGCTATAGAAAATGGCCATAGAAATAGTTGATTTATCCATTAAAAATTGTGATTTTCCATAGTTTTTTGTAGGTTTACCAGAGGTAGATCCAGAATCCAGGGGGTGTACACTTCAACGACCGCAGGTTCTGGAAGGAAGGCAGCGCCAGTTTGCAACGCGCAGAAACCGAAGCCGAGGCTGGTTCTGGGACCTGAGCGGGATGCTACTTGAAGGTATTGGGCGACTAGGCCTGTAGCGAAAAGAAAGAAATCACACAAGATCAACAAGTCTTATAGATATACATTCTAATTTTCAGATACACGTACAAAAGTTTATTCAATGTTGGACCTAGTCCCCAACCACTAGCAGTGGGCTATGGGAAGGTTGTGGATGATCATGACACAGAGGATGTGGCAAGGGCGGCAGCACGATGAACTCAAAGCACTCTACAGAGCGTTCGAGGTATACAAGAAGTTCAGCCAGTGGGCCAGTGGGCTATAAAGGTTGCTAGGAAAGCCGAACTACAGAGATGATGTTTCCTGTGGTCATTGGCAAAGTGGGTGAAGGCTGTGTCCAAATAAAAGATGTATCTTATGTCACACATATGAATACCTATAGTGTATGAATTGTAGACTTTGACTTTGACCTCTGGTATTTGTCATCTAGCTGTGGCTCTGTTTGGCTGGGCAACCTTTTTTCGCCTTCGGCCTCGCTGAACTTGAGAGATGGCGCTGGAAAAAAAAATATAGTATATATTAGTATATATCTGGATGGTGGTTCGGAACATTTTTTTATTTTTTCATAATATATGGGATAATCCTTTCCATGGACTAATATTTTTCATAGGGGTTGAAACCGAGAAGCTTACAAAATTGACCCCGAAATTCACCTCCCAGGTACTTCCTGAGCAGCTACTACCCAAAGGAATACACAGACAGATAGACATACGTTACATATATATATATATACATACATACCATAACATACCATAACATACCATAACATACCATAACATACCATAAAATACCATAAACTACCGTAATATACCATAAAATACCATAAACTACCGTAATATACCATAACATACCATAACATACCATACCATAACGTACAATAACATACCATAACATAACATAACATAACATACACACAGACACACACACACATTACATACATACATACATACATACATACATACATACATACATGCATACATACATACATAGATAGATAGATACATAGATACTAGATAGACAGATAGATAGATAGATTGATTGATAGATACATACATACATACATACATACAGTACATACATACATACATGCATGCATACATACATACATACATACATCAATGCATGCATGCATGCATAAATACATAAATACATACATACATACATGCATACATGCATACATGCATACATGCATACATGCATACATGCATACATGCATACATGCATACATGCATACATGCAGTACATACATGCAGTACATACATGCAGCACATACATACAGTACATAAATACAGTACATACATACAGTACATACATACAGTACATACAGTACATACATACAGTGCATCCATACGGTACATGCATACATGCTTGCATACATGCATGCATACATACATACATACAGTACATACAGTACATACAGTAGATGCAGTACATACAGTACATACAGTACATACATACAGTACATACATATGTACAGTACCTGCATACAGTACATACATACATACATACATCCATACATCCATACATCCATACATCCATACATCCATACATCCATACATCCATACATCCATACATCCATACATACATCCATACATCCATACATCCATACATCCATACATCCATACATACATACATACATACATACAGACGTAGATACGTAGATAAATATATAGATACATACATGTCAATTTTCCAATGTGCAGAGATGATTTGTTCCTGATGGTTCCCATCCACTTTCTACGATTCCCAGGCTAAGCTGGCACAGGCCGCAGAAGAAGGTGAGGACGAGGTCGCGGGTGGATGGCTAGCGCTGGTTGATGAGAAAAAATGGCTGGAAATCGGTAACCATGGTGGGTTAAGCGGAAAAAAAAGGTGGCAAAAATGGTGGGTTAACTAGACAAAATGGTGGGTTAATCAGCAAAAATGGTGGGTGAATCGGGGATTAACCAAGCCGAAGCTGCGGAATAATCAGCAAAAAGGGCGGCTAACCATGGCCATTTACCGGCCAAAATTTACACGTTTTCCTGAAACAGTGGGATGTGAGCAACAAACAGTGTGCGTATATCATGAGATTTATTGTCATAAACAATGTTGAGGAGACCCGGAAGATTTAACAACAAACACATGGCGGAAGCGCAAGGTTATTCAACACAAAAACAGGAACATTTTGATTTAAGCCATCAACATATGGATTCAACAACCGGACATGGGTTGTGGGATTTTCATACCAACAACAGACATCATATTGGGTATACAATATATTAATGTTCTTATGGGCACATGATAGTAGCCTCTCTACCACCTCACCATAGATGATGGTTAGAAAGTAAGCGAGGGATCATCACCCTCCCACTTTGAAGTTCATTATTTCTTTGTACCCAGATGCAACTTGCAAGAAAACACCGCTATCAAGAAATCATATTTTTATTGCTGTCCTACAGGGTGTTCAAGCCGGTTGGTAGTATTTGGTGCCACCAACGAATAACGATTTGTTAGTCATGAGGATGAACAACTGCTGGCAGAATTGCTCATTTGGATCTGGATGTGGCCAGTTTAGGGGAAACAGGAGTTTGCCGCATGAAGATGTAGTTTTTGGATGGTTTAGGCTGTACCCTCCCAATGTCAGTTTTCAAAACATATCACGGGGTTTCAATGATTCAATCCTGCCGTTTTTGTTCCTTTAAAATCCATGTTCGACCTGACACAATTGGATGAAACCGTGCTGAATCGGGTGTTCCCCCCCCACGAGCAAGTCGAGCAAGGCAGCAGACGCAGATGCAGAAGGCCACTGATGGTGAGTTGTTTCAGTAGCAGACACCCTTTGGTCATTTAACATAGCTATTGAAAATCACCATTGTTCAAGGGTAAATCAACTATTTCTATGGCGATGTTCAATAGTTTTGTTGCATGTTTACGAGAGGTAAAACTATTAAAAATGTAAAAGTTGATGGCAACTCCAAAAAAATAGAAAAACACCATGTCCTACAATAACGAATCGTGACGACTCATGTTTTTCGAAACACTTAAGGTTGGTAAATTTCCTCGGGTGAAATCGCCATTATCCCTATTCTTTTGGTGCAATATAACCCAGAGATCCTAAATTGATGTACGGTAACGACATTTAAATATGTGGAGGGCGGGACAGCGAGGCCCAGGAGGTAGTATAAAATACAAGTTCGTATATTTAAATGTAGTTACCGTATGTTGAAAGGAATTGGATTCCGTATGTTTAAATGGCCCGGCGGGGTCTAAACTACCTGTTCGTATATTTTTAAATGCGTATATGTAAATGTATTTACCGAAAAATATACAGGTCTACCTCAGTCACATTAATGGGTTACTCTATGTTTACTTACTATTAGATGGGATGCCCAGGAACTGTTCGACGTCTTTCCGCAACGACGGCAGGCGATGCCGAAGATGAGGAGGCCGTCGACGTTCTTTTCACCGACGGCGACGCGGAGGTCGGAAATGTCTTGAAGTTTCACGGATTTTAAATGATTTTAAGCTGTTTTACATGATTTGTTGAATGGTTTTTATATAGCGCATTAAAAATGGTGATTTATTTTTGTGTTACCCACATTAATCAGGTATTAATCAGGTATTAGTCACTATCAACCACTATTATAATCACTATTATAATCACTGCTTGGTGGTTTGGAACACGGACGGCTTTTATGTTCCATTTCATATTGTAGGGATGTCATCCTTCCCATTGACGAGCTCATATTTTTCAAGATGGTTCTTGCCAACACCAACCAGATGTTTTTTTGACAATCTCAAATAGTATAAGATTCCTTCATGTGGTTGTTTTAAAAACAGTGACGCATATATCTAAATTCATGAACACTGATTTCGTTGGGAAAATGCTGGTGATCATGTTGTAATTATTTTGGTATTGGCGGAATTGGCAGACCCTGGGCAGAGTTTAGCTAATCCGGGTGTTTAGTGGTAACAAGACAATCCGGATGCTATTTGAGATGGTTTTCCATGTGCAACAAAGTGGGAAGATCTCTTTGGTGATGCATCCAATGACTGTTATAGTTGACGTTTTTGGGGTCGCCGAATATATTATTTTGAAGCAGTTGAATCCATTTGATGCAACATGCTGCACCCAATTTTTCTGAAGTTAAGCATCTTGTGTCAGGAAAACGAAGACTTGCCGATTGACAAGAGCAAACAAAACGAGGACGGATGATGTTCGCTCCAGCAGATTCGGGGGGATGCACATGGTATCACACAGGACAAGGTTTGGTCAGATTACCCGTAGGACTTGTTTGCTATTTGAAATGTGTTTGGAGGCGTTTGTGGATGTTTGTTTTGTGATTGTTGGACGTGCGTGCGTTTGGAGTACTGTGATGAACCAGTGATGAACCCCAAAATGTCAATCTCCAATTTTGCCAGAAATCGGGCATAGAAGCCATCCCCAATTTATGGCATTGGGTTCGCCACATTGTGTCTAAATACCAAAAGCAACCCCGGGTCACCATTTTGACAGAATTCCATTCGATTTTACCATGTTTTTTCTTTTTTGGGAGGGCACTACGTATACTATACCCTCCGGTGATCAATCATAGCAATGGAAAATCCAACGTATTTATAAATGCAGTTCCCGTAAAGCATGCATTTACAAGGGATTTCCCAGCCATGTTTAATTGCCACAGGGTCATAACATGTTGAAGTCCTGGGAATTGAATCAAAACATATCGAAACCACTGTTTTTGAATGTTGTTTTTTGTTTTAACCAAGTTTTACCACTTGAAAATTCATGAAAATTCCAGGAGCAGCTTGACGCTGCCAAGCGAAAGAGAGAGGAGGTGCCACGGGTGATCAGAACTGCGCTGCCCTTGAAAGTTGATTAATGCTGGGTTATAACCTGATGATTCATCAGATACCCTCTGGTAATTTAACATAGCTATTGAAAATGGCCATTTATAGTGGATTTACCCATTAAAAATGGTGATTTTCCATAGCTATGTTAGTTTACCAGAGGGTAGCCAAATTCATAGTATGTCGGAGATGATGCAGTTGCAGGGATGAATTGCTACAAGTTGCTGCCATCCAGCTATTTTAGTTTGTTTAGAGGCCTGTCCAACCATAGATGTTTCTACCGTAAGTCCTAGTGAACCTTGTTCTAAACCAACTTGGCTAACGAAGGAACTGGGGGACCACCTTGTATGGGCCAAGATACCCAACGGGCCATTGTGAGAAACGTAGCGAAAAACCGCAGGAGATGCTTCCACCGGGTGATTTTTGAAAACTGGTGGGATAATGGCCACTCATGCCATACATATCTATAATATATATATATATATAATTATTATATATATATACATATATATACACACGTGGTTTTCAAGTTGGTGACTTCCTTTGTCGCACTTTTGACTGGGATCCTCTCTTGGGAAGATCATCCGGCATCAGGACCAGGATGAGAAAAAAAAGGTTGTAACACCACCTGGTGCATGTTTGCTACAACGGTTTATTCACATTTCATCATAACAATTTTTGGTTGGTGATATCCGTTCTTTTTTACCTGAGGCCGTGGTATATTTCACTAGCAAAATTAGGCTTCATGGTATAAAGTTATTAAAGCAACAACATGTTCCTAAAGCAACAGACATTTCATTGGGTAAATCCACATGTTCATGGTTGAATCCCATTGTTCATGGTTAAGCCGAGCCATTTTGGGGCTGCCTTTTTAAAAGGGCACCACCCAGCTGATGCAGGAACCGCCCGAGGGCGAAAAACGCTTCAGAGCAGATGCGGCCGAAGAGCAGGCAGCGCGGTGCCACTTTTGCGATGTTGTGCTATCTTATTGATGGCTTATGGTGATTAATAGTGGTTAATACTGGTTAGTGGTCATCAATAATGGTTAGTCAGTTAGTCATAGGGATATTTACTGGGATATTCGCGACAGATCTTCAAGGGGGGTTCTTAAAGTGGGGTTCAATACTATGTCGTGGTCTATAAAATGACTTGGATGATTTGGGGGCACCACCATTTTAGGAAACTTCCATCTTTGCTGCCTGACATGCTAGGTCTATGCCATGAGTTACTGGACTCTAATTATATTTTTGATTTCAGCATTTTTGTTGGCAAAAAAAAACGGGAGATGCCTGTCTAGGCTTTTACTAGGTCGACCCTGGAGGTCTGTCAGACATCCATTGGTCCATTAAATTGGTTCATTTACTGAAGACTAATGATTATATTGGGGATGTTCCAAGGATTGTAATAATATTAGTTAATAAGTTAATAGTGGTTAATTGTGATGGAAAACACGATCCCATACTGTATATTGAATAACATACATCCATATATTGCAAATAATCATTTAATGGGATCAACATTTGTAGTTTTATGTTAAACTCTGTATATATATATATACACATTCTGAGGATAACATGCGGATATATTGAGGATATCATGCGGATATAATTATTGAGGATATACTATGACAACTGATTGGATGATTGGTATATAATGATCGAGAATTGAGAATGAATGATATATTTGTGGCAATGAAGAGCCTCAATACATCTCAATACAGTAGATAACGACAAATATCAACAAATCATGTGTGTTTCTTCAGAAACATATCCATCGGTTCAAAGCCATATACAGTAACATTCTGATTGACAGGGCGTATCCATTTCGTTTGGGAAAGAAACCTGGCCTATCCAATGGCTGCTTCCGACGAGATTTTCCACACTGACTTGCACGCAGCACGCTGCACAGAGACTGATGGTGAGGGGTTGACATGCCGTGGAGGCTATGGTTCAACTTTGTTGAACCATTGTTTGGGTTCAATCTGCAGTGTGATTGGTTGAGACCCATTGGTAAAATGCATAGACTCTGGACTCTATAAAGTATAAACTTTTATTGTCTACGCGCACTGGATTCAAGTCCTCATGTTTCTCCATGCTAGGTTGTCAAAAGTAAAGCTGAAATATTCATCATTTCCATTCACAACATACCTCGGTTTAATATCAGATTTGTTCATTGTTTGTTGTGAAAAAAAAGAAGCGGGTCATCCGTTTTTCCACATTCGCAAATTCTTTCTGACATATACCCTCTGATAAACTAACATAGCTATGGAAAATGGCAATTGATAGTGGATTTACCCGTTAAAACTTGTGATTTTCCATAGCGATGTTAAAAATTACCAGAGGGTATAAACTAATATCATTCAATATCAATAAACCCAACCATCAATAGTGTGTCTCAAGCATCGGATTCTCGGCGTTGGCCAGGATGCACCAATGCCCGAGGCCGTGGTGGATGAGGTGTGGATGAGTAGTACTCGGCTAGGGGGTTCAATCCCAAAATGAGTTCTATTTTTAGAATATGTACAGTTGTGAGATATTAATATATATATATATATTAATCACTAATTACTATCAATGAGATGATATTAATCACTACTCTATATTATTCACTAATATCATTAATGTGGGAACACAATGTCAGAAACCACCCAGTCGACTGGAGATCATTTATTGTTTTACCAACATTACGTATGTCGCGACAGGCGTGTGGGTACACACATTATTACGGCAAGTTACGGCCATCTTATTGGGAGCTGAGCCACATTGGATATTCATCATTTATCATTATAAATCGAGGATTATATATATAACAAAAACTATTTAAATGGATATATAATTATACATATATAGTAAATCGTGGTAAATGATACTAATCATGTAATATGTATAAATCAAATTGGCTTGTTAAATGGTGTGTATGGATAGTATTCCCCAAAATCTCTCACTTTGCTCTCTCTCTCTCTCTCTCTTTCGTGGGATCATATTTGTTTGGAAACCGCCAAAGAGATTGTTTGCCGGTCCGTATCTTCCATAGATGGCACTCATTTCGCCATTCATATTTTTTTTTTGAAATGTATGCTCCAAATTTTGATTGAATTAAGATGTGCGGGGTTCTTAAGATGGGGGACCCAAATCCAAAACTAAAACGTTCGATGTTTGTTGGTTGAAAGTTGACACAACCCCGGTTTCGGCCTTCCCCATTCTTAAGGAACCTCCATAGAGATGAGGATATGACAAAACAACATCACAAACTATGAGGATACTATCGCTGGTTCATACTATCTAGCATTTCGATGTAGCTCTGCAAAATGCTCTTTACTTCGATGATTGAACTCTTCTATAAACAATTGTTATCTTCATCTCCCATAGCCGCTATGTTTAGAGAGGGTGATGCTACGAAATCACCATTAGCTGGTACTTCAACACTCTTGAATCACAATCGAAGAACAAGTCTAAGTACAATAGGACATGTGAAAACCTCATCTTTAATGAGAAAATCGATGGTTTCCGGTTTCGATTTTCCCTTAAACCAATCCATTGAATGGGACAATTCTCCGACATCATATCGCAGCTGGCAGCTTCATCCCTTGAGGTGGAAGAGCTTGCGGAGGTCGAGGTGCGCTTTCCATGGATGTCCCAGCCTTGTTTGATGACACTATATACAGTACAGTAGTAATTATATAGAGGGGAATTCACATTGAAATCTCCATGTGTGTTGAACAAATCCATACCCTCTGGTAAACGTTTACATAACTATGGTAAAAAAACAACATTTTGGGCAATTTCAACTTGGGAATTTCAGGGTGTCAAGTTGACTGAGTTGGCCAATCGGCGCCAGGCACCTGCAGACAGCGGATGATTGACAGCTGCCCAGCGCGACAGTTGCTGCGGCAGCAGAAGATTGTGTCCAACATATGGGTCTCAAAAAAGGTTGAGCCTATGCTCCTATCAGTGGATGACCCAGTCGTGTCATGATCCCAAATAGAATTATAGGTTGATAATGGTTGACATAAGGTATGGTTCAATACCGGACCACCGGAATGGAGAATAAACGTCCGTTAGCCTGCCATGTTGATGTTCACAGGATGTCAGTGATGTCAGTGCTTTGATCCATAGCTGAAAGCACCCACCAGATTACCATCCTGCAATCAAACCATGGCAATGGAAATTCACCCATTTATGCATGATTTTCCCATTAAACACCGTCATTTATAGGGGATCTCCCGGCTAGCGATTTTTCATTGCCAGAGGGCAACTCCGTTGTTTCGGACTGTGATGCATGGTGTTTTTTCTCATGGATGTTGGATGCGAACTTCCTTACCAGAGACTCGACCCCCGTCATGACTCTTTGCCGAGAAAAGGTGTGAGGATCCAAGAAAACAGTCCTCAGATGTCCGGATATTGCTTTTATATTGGATGTTCGATGGTAATTTAAGTTAACTAAGTTAACCAAATAATATACCTTCAATATCCTTCAATTGGGATGTTTTTTTGGGTCCACCCATTTCTGGTGAAATTGAGCATGTTTATCATGAAGAATTCATTGTGTTTGCCACATCAATTGCCCTAGTTAGTTGTACGTTTTTATCCTTGGTCATAGCCATACCTTTCCATCAGTGGTGCTACTCCAATGATGAAATGCCTTCAAACATTTACGGATAGGACAATTATCGATCAATTGCCAGACAATTTTGGCACATATCTGCGGCTGGGTCAGCTTACTTTTGGGTCTCTCAGACGCCCATCCCTCGTTGCCGTCTTTGGTTTACCAGGGGTGTACGGGATGATGAAATTCTCATGCTACGTGTGATAGGCCCCCAGCAGATATCAGCAGTCAGTCAGCTAACCAAGATGGTGCGTTTCATGATACTGTTGGATATGTGGTTCAAACAGAAAAAACTAAGCACCGGAAAAACGTTCCTCAAGCACATGTTCTTTCAGGAATCATTGGGGATGCGTATGCCCAATCTAATCCCCATCCCAAATCTATGATTTGTTGAACAGGCACTGACCAACCCATCTTTGACAAGAACACTGGCAGTGCCATGGCATAGACGATCTGCTATCGCTACCAGATCCTTTCCTACCATGATAATCATGAACAACAGCACCAAAGAAGTCTAGTCTAATATCAAGGATGTATCACAAAAGATCATAATCCCCAAGGCTTCTGGCAAACGTCACAGGTCACATGCTCACAGAAGTCAGTTTCAATTTCACCGTCCTTTTCCCAGCCGGGAAACTGTTTTTCAAATCTCAAATGTCTAACCCTGAAAGTGTTGCCTGATAAACCATGGGTACAGCAATCACTGGCAGTAGAACAAAATCGCCAACTACCACAACAACTTAAGGGATTCCACAGGTGTGCAACATCCTAAAATCTCCAGGTTTTCACTTGAAAAAAGCCGCCATAGTTTCGCCGTAGTTTGAGCGCCAGCTCTGTTGTCGCCATGCCGGGCTTGCAGGGAGCGCGCTCGGGAGGAATGACGCACCACATCCAGGGGCCACATTTGATCCCCAACGTGGGAAGGGAGGCGATGCTGGCAGCTGAGGTGGTGAGGACGGAGGTTTCGGAGGCTTCCCATGTCCTTCAGAAATGGAGGGAGTTAAGGGTGAAAAGTTCGAAGGACAGTATGAAAGCCATATGTTTTTTGGATTTTATTGGAGGGTGCAATGGGATATAATGTGATATAAATGACACAATTAAATAATCAATTGGAGGTATAAGGATGTATAAGGTGGTAATTGTTGTGATTGTTTTGCTGTTTGCGAAAGGAAACATGCTTTAATGGGACGGGAATGCAGAAGGAAATGATATAGGAGATGAAACTAAGCAACAATATGCGATGGATTTGTCCCAAACGTGTGGTGTGTCCCCCCAAATGTATGGCCATTTGAACGGGGCAGTATGAAATATGACAATCACTCATGAACATTGGAGCGCCCAGGCACCTTATTTTCAATTGATATGATCAGACATCACATAGTTTCTCCATGTTTCTCGGTATATGACACACAATCGGTTGGTGATGGGTCGGGTGGTTGGGGTCGGGTCTAAACTTTATATCCCATGAATGTTTCTTAGAAGCCATCACTGATTGACGATTCATGGGGATTCATGGCAATTCTTCCCAACGGTGTCCAGGAGAAAGCCCAAGTCCAAGGCGAAAGCGGCCACTTGGTTGCTGAAACCATGGCATCATATGGCATAGAAAACCTGATACGTCCATTGGAAACATCAGCTCTTTTCAATGCTGCTTCAAAGGGCTTACCGTATTGCTAAGAATAATCCAGAACGTTGGTCCGTTGCTTCATGGATGTTGTTGGAAGGTTAGTGAGCGATGTTTTTTTCAGGGCGGTGACAGGCAGCCATGGCATGGAAATAAGGAAAGTCTGGAAGGCTTTCAGCCCAGTTGTGTGTTTCAACAGAGCCACAAGCTAGAATGTGAGACAATACTCAACATAATTTAATACGACATCATATGACATAATCATATATAATTAATCATATCATATTATATCATATCATTTCATATCATATCATATCATATCTAGAATCTAGGTTTTCCCGTTTAGATATATCTTAGAGCGTTCATCCCGGCAAAGCTTACGAGCAGCTAAGGAGAAGCCGGATCCGAAGCCCGTTTCAAAATCAAAGGTGGCAAAGAAGGATGGGCCACATTTTGGGCGGGGTAGCTATCGTGGTAAGGCCTAAATCCTTAACCTCCATGTGAATGATGGTGAATGATAGCCACAAGGTTTGACAATTTGACCATCTCACCTCTTAGCCATTGGAAAACCCCAATGGGGCTGGTGTGTTGGGAACAACCCTGAAGGAAAAAAAAGAAAAGAAGCGCAGGAAAACCTCTCCCGAAGCTTCTCACGCCAGTTCCAAGTCGCGTTCCCGGACCAGAAGTCACTTTCGAAAGGACGCGGCTGGATTTGCTGAAGATGATTGTTTCTTTTCCTGTTGGTCAACCCAAAAAACGACTGGGGGAATCATTCCGCTGATCCTATCGTCCATTCTGTTTCGTATGTTAAATCGTGGCCCCAAAAAGGCCACGCAACGGAACAGGATGTGGATCCTTCTCATGCATCCTGTTCCGAGAGTCCTGAGCGAAGACATGTGGAGCTACCAGCCATTAGCCACGAAGCTCCTGAACGCAGCTTAGCTGCAAGGCTGCAAGGTGTTGTTCCACGGATGGCATGTTCCGCCACATTCGGGCAATGGAAAAAACCCAGGACGAATAGACCACTATCAACCACCAGTTTACTGATAGAGGGGCGGGTGGCAATTTTACTAGTAAAGGAATGTAATTATTAATTATCATTATGTTCGGGGAACCCCCCTTGATAGTCAGGGTTTCTTCATCTGAGACTGGGGGAGGTGTTGGTAAGTATTCCGGCTCCATGGGTAATGTGGGCATATGTGGGCCATGTCTAGACGTTTTCCAGCAGTTCCATGTGTTTTTTCTTGTCAAATTAATAGGATACAAGACCCTGCACAAGTCATTGCCAGTAGGTCAGTAGTTGATTAGTGGTTTCAGATATGTTCTTTCACTATCTTTCACTGTCAGTCATAGACATGGGATGCTTCATTACGACTATAATGACTATAATATTATATAAGTAAATATATATATATATATATTTGTGTGCGTATGTTGGGACCACCAACCAGCCTAGTTGAGAAGTGCTGGCCTCCCTCAGCACCACCGGAGCTGACTGGTTGTAAATAGTGCTCCATTGGCGCTCTTTAAGGGTTCCAAAAGTTGCATGTTGTTGTTGTTGTTGTTGTTGTTTATGGTCCATCGTACGGTCCTTTCTTTGTATTGTTGTATGATATTCAATTCACACCTGTATCTTTACAATTCTCTACGCCGTGCGATGTCACTGTGGGTTCATCTTGAGGTGCAACGACCAGCCAGCTCAATGAATTGGTTTGGCTTTTCCTGGCTTCCTTTCCTCTAAAAAATCATGTGGAAGCGCCATGTTTCGGTTTCATCCTAATTTTTTCGGGTATAGATATCAATCACATGTCACATGTCCCTATCTTTCTGGCTGTGTTTGGATCCAACCTTTTTCAAGCTGCACCGCTGAACTCCTCGACAGCTGGACCCCTGGTCTCCCGCTTGGTCTCTCGACAGGCACCCATTCGGTGGATTCGCAACGGGAGGAAATGTCGGCTTCAGCTCAGGTTGCGGCGACCAGCAGGGGGTTGCGGTTGCGGGTGCAGTAAACATATGGGATTCATGGGATTACTGTGGTAAAGCCAATGCCGCAAACGTTTCTAGAAGCCATAAAAATTGTGATTTTGGGGATGATTACTGGGCCATTGGGTTTACCACACTTTTTTGGGGGTTGTTTTTTCGATCAGCATGGAATGGAGCGAGTTAACCAGAAATACACTGCCTAGGATGATCCCAATTGAACAGCATGTTTTTCAGGATGAAAGGAGTGGGTTGGGATATTTATTTTTAATTTCATTAGTTTTTGTCAGATTTGTTATAATTTGTTACATTTGATTTTTTTTGACATTAAGCTCACAATATGATGTGTGAAGATGGTATGATGAATTTCATGTGGTTCCAAGTTCATCTTAACGGTGAATAATATATGGTTTTAGCGAATCCCTATTGGATTGGAGGAAACCCCCAGATGCTCCATACTCGAAAATATGCACTTGTCAATGGGAATTTCAGGATCCTAAAATGGAGGTACTGTACCATATTTCTGGCCATATTTTGCTGGGATATTCCCTTACATGGCCATTGATTCAAGCAATTTTTGGGCATGTTGATAGATACTGTACTCCAGACATGGGGTTCCCTTAAAGGGCAATTCTTGTACCTGCGGATTGATGGCTTCAAACTCATCGGCACAAACAGTAATGCGAAACTCACAATGAATAGTACATACCACATGCCCAAGAAAAACAAAATAAGCCATTATATATTCGGGATCTATATGGCCCACTCTTGCTGGTTATATAAATTCCGGTTTTTATGAGTTAAACTCCCAGCTGGTTGATGTTTGTGGATCAAAGAGCAAAACATGGACCTTTTATGACCTTTTGTTCTGGATCATGATTGGGTCAGATCATTTTTTGATTGCATAAACTTGGATTTTGGTCCGTGAAATTTCGATTTGGCTTAGCTTCAGTCCCGGCCCGAGTTTAAAGAACGAAGCATTTTAGTTGGCTGAATTTGCATGTTGTTAAACTCCAACGGATGGGAATACAAACGAATTTTATATGGGTAAAGCACACATCTTTTTGTATGTGCAAAATCATCATTTTATATAAGTTTGTTGCTATGTTTGCAGATGAAAATTTAAGAAATTAGAAAAAACACATGTCAAACTATTGTAATTAAAGACCACGTGCTCCACTTATTTGTGTGGCTTAAATAAGTTTGAAACCCTTTTTTTTGCGTGGTAGGATTGTAAATTCCTCGTTGATCGTCGCACAGCGGGCCAGGAACGAGAAGCCCGGCGCATCGAGGAAGAGCGAAGGCAGCTGCAGCTCTTGAAGGAAGCACAGGAAAAGCGAAGGAAGTTGGAAAATGAAGCTTGGCTTTTGAGAAAATCATATGGCTACTGGTTGAATGACAACGCTTTGCCTTTTGGGTTGACGTAGCTATTGAAAATGGCAACTAAATACGGAAAATGATGGGAGATCATGGGATTTTGGTGGCAATGTGAGTAAAAGTGATTGAATAACAGCGGTTTTTATAGTGGTTAGATAATAGTGGCCATCAAGAATAGTTGTTTTTTCTTAAGGATTATTTGTGATTAACGATGGTTAATCACTAATATTAATGGTAACGTTTATACTATGTTAACATAATAGTCTTAACTAAGCATATTATTACCACTATTACTAAAGATTACTATATATATATATATAGTGGTTAGTTATGGCAATCAATTAGGTAACCATAACAATCATATGATTAATAGTGGCTAATAGTGGTTATATATAATAATATCCACTACTCGTTTATGAACCAGATATGATCAAATAATAGTTAACTATGCTTGGCTTGTGTCTTTATTATATTAAGAATGGTTTGTTTAATTGTGGTTAGCAATACCCACTTTGACTATATAGTGGTTTAACTAGTATTTCAACGATTGATGAAGAGACATATCAAAATGGTAGAAATGCAATAGTAAGCCATCCGCATTTTTTTTCCATAAAAGGGTGCTATAAATCAAACTATGGGTTGGTTATTTCGGCTTTACTAACATTATTGTGGGAACCCTTAAGAATCTCCCAAAAAAAAGCTGTGGATGTACACATTCCGGGGTGAACATTAGCCATGGTCATGGCCGACCCCGCTCAACCGGTGGCTTGGAAGCATGGGTTGGAAGCATCATATCAAAATGTCCAATGGACATGATAGTTCACAGCTGGATTTTGGAGCAGCCTATTTTGGGAGAGATGCTTCGCACTGGCCAATTTCATCCACTTTCGCCAAATTACGTCAGACTGCCTTTCCAGCTTCATTGAGAAGTAGCACCAGCACTACGGTGATGAGGTTGGCTACAATCACAAGCCCTTTGTCAAGGCTGTGAAGATGAGCAGAAGCGCCGTCAGAATTTGATGGATGCTGGAGTTCCTGCACAGCCTCCTTCGTACCAATGCAGGGTGATGTAAATTGGCCAAGAACATTGCAAAATTGAAACAGTATCAGCAAGTGTTATTTTGGTGTTAAATGCTTGAGTCGCTTGGCGTTGGTTGGTCAATCCAACCCACGGCATTTTCACTGTTACTCCCTTGCTTGACAAAATTGATAAAAATTGCATTTTGCTAGTAACCTAATACCCTTTTGGAAGCTACACATGTGTATAGGTACACCATACGTAGGTAAATCATCCAGAGAAGGATTTTTCATGCGGCAGACAGTAAGTCTGTGGGTACGTTGATCGATCTGCAAGGGAAGGTTTTATCGGCCAAGGTTTGACACAAATGATGGGTACGTCGTTAGGTTTTCACCAAACAATTGGGGTCCGTTCAACCATCAGAAACAGGATCAAATGGGCAATTGGTTGCCGCAAGTTATTATTTGAAAGAATCAAATTCAAGATGCGTTCATCTTATTAGTGGCTATGGCATACAAATCCGACAAGAATGATGTTATATACCCCAAAAAGGAGGTAGGGCAAGACTCGCTGACCGAACTTGACAGGTTGTGTTTTTTCTCCTTAGGAACGCAAGAAGAATCTCGGTGGAGTCTTTGCGCTTTCAGCCGACGACTTCGAGAAGGAGGATAAGGAGGACAGGCCACAACTCTGCTTCATTTTTTTTGAAAATCATGGATGATATAACGATATGGGAAACCTTGGATATAAGTATTAGTAGTGTGGTACTTGTAATGAGGGTCTGTATCACGGACAAAATTCATATCATTTCGTATCATTTCACAGCACGGCAGGTTGTCCATGCATCACTGATGTTTTTTACCTGGACATGATTGGATGGTTTTGCTTCTAATGTGGTAAACCCAACTCGGTCATAAACCTTCATTTATGGAGGGCTTATGGCATCTTATGGCATCCATTTCTGGTGATAGGATTGGTGAATTCTTGGGTTTACCACATTGTGACGCTGGTTGAAACCACGCCCCAGGAGCAAAGCAAGGCGCACGCGGCGCAAAGCGCCATGGATCGCTGCCCCGAACGGCTCGACCGGATGGACCGGATGGATCGGCCGAGCCGAAAATCCAAAGATCCCAAGCCACTGGATGACTCGACACCGGGGACCGGCTTTGAGCCGCTTGGCGTTGCAGCCGCGTTGTGAACACAACTGGGATGCTTTCCTGCTGGTTACTCCCTGTCCAACAAAAGGGGTGTTTGCAATGTTATTCCTAAAAAATGTTGTACTGTATGTGCAGTAAGATATTTATACATTGCATTTGCATTGTACCATACCATACGAGCATGTTGCTCCACCAGCATCAGCGCAATACTTCCTAATTCGTTCTTCCATCAATCTATCGTCAAACAGATTTCAAAAAAATGTTGGGTCGGGTTTCTTCCCCACAAAATGGATCGAAGACGGCGTGCAATGAAGATGCTGTGCCCCATTTAAAGTTATCTCCGCTATGTTTTACCCATAGGTACACCAAATAGATGGGGCATCGATATTGCAGTACTGTCCCATCCTCCACTTTTGAATTATACCCTCACGGTATTACGTTTGTAGGCTACATACTTGGATTCTCCGTTTGTTCGCTTCTGCCCATGTCAATTGTTTATGGCTTCATGGCCTCATCATTACTCCACTGACCCTAACACCCATCTTACCTAAGCTTAAGGTAGTTTAAGATGTCGGATTTCACATGATTTCACCATATTTTGCTTTCCAGATATTTCATATGGATGCTTCACTGTTTCATATATTTATTCCTCCTATGTCATCCCACGTGCTGCAGGAAGTGCTGGAAGAACTGGGACTTTGCCAAGGCAGACGACCCCGGGGAGGTGGCGCGGCAGTTCATGCGCGTCACCGCGGCCAAGCGCCGCGGCTACGCGCCGGACCGCCGGGACGGCGGGGGCCACGGTGGCCACGGTGGCCACGGTGGGCGACGGAGCCGGAGCAGGGGGCGGTGACCAGAAACCGAGAAGCGATTCGCCAAAAAAGGGCCGTGGACATCGTGGAGCCATGGGCAAACCCAACCATTTGATCCATTTGGGACAATTTTTTTTAGGCATAAGTCGAACAAAAGCGTCACTTGGAGGGTGTTGATATTCAACTAGATGTGGTCTTTCAGTTTTTTTTTTAAGACCAGTGTCCCGACTGGAGCCTGTGAATTTTGTAATGTGTTGTTTTTTTTTCCAACTGTTATTTTATAGAACGGTATGGGGTTGGTGCTGTAGTTTGGAAACATGTTTTGGATGCCAAACAGTTGTCTTCTTTAGCTGACACTTGAATGATGGTCTTCACTTCTTGGGCGTTTCTGAACTCCCAAACATCCCTAACTTGCTTCCGCTATGAATGATTAAAATATTGGTGAACTTCTGAAGGAAAATGGAGCCGGAGGGAAGTTGGACCTGCAATTCAGATCAATTTAGAAGTTCAATTCAAACAGTTTACACGACATTTGCGAAGATCATCTTACCCAGTAAGAGTTTGCTTGATGCTCAGAATTACGTTTCATGGTTGATAATGGCACGGAGTGAAATGCTGGTTGCAAATTTTGTACATGCTTTTGAGTTTTTTTTGCCCGTTTGTGCCCATGTATAGGCCTTGGTTTGCTTTACTACAGATGAACGTTGTATGTTTCTACTTGCTTTTATGCCTCCCAATGCTCCGACTCAAACCGAGACACACCCAAAGCCGCAACGTAGAATGAGGTACACATGAAAAGGTACACATGATGAAATCATCAAACTCACACACACATATAAAATCATACGCAGTATATATATATATATATATATATATTATATTTTAAGTATATAGTATATACAATATTATATTTATAATATACATTACATAATTTATACACACAGGCATGATGTCTTCCAGAAATGGTGCTTTCTTTCCCGCGCAGGTTGTCCGGCGGAAGCGGGCCTGGCCAGGATGGGATGGGACGACCGAAACCTGGAAATCATGGGTTTTCATAAGGGGAATCATCCCCATTCATGGCCGAACAATTCAGGTTAGTGAAATATGATAATTTACCCAGATTACCCAGATATCATAGAACATATAGAACTTTCTCCATGTAAATTGCCAGTAAATCTAGTCAATGAACCAAATTTGTGGGACATTTTTTGATGGACATTCATGGTTTGATCAGTTTGATCTATGCAGAATTTCCGTATCTTAGAGGGTTGATACCCAATTCCGATGAGCCTGCAAAGTTGATAAACCCATTGCAGAGCTTTGGGGATTCACTGATACTTGAGCTTGCTGGTTTCAAACGCAGGTCATTTTTCTATAAACTGAGCTGTTGGACTTGTTTCTTTATTTTCTTTCACAATTTTCAGTGGATTGGATTAAGGGAACAATTAAAGAAAACTTTGTAGAATTTCCTTAAACCAATCCATTGTTGTCCTCTGAATGACCCGTGGGTTACCAAGTTGACAACAAAGGGTGTCAACCTGCAGCTGGACAAGAATGTTTCAGAGCTTGGGAAATCAATAGGATTAAACATGTATTACATAGTCCACAAATATAGTATCAATATGTATTAATAATATATAGTTCACTGATAGTTGGGAGATGGGAGGCTTTCCCACGATACATTAGATTCAAAATGATTCCTCTGTAACACTAAACCGCAACTCCATGGGTTGGTGAACAAAACTCCAGGAAGACACTCCTGGACCGTTTGACCATGGCTTTGGTACCTTGGTGAAACCGGTGAAGTGGTAAATATGGTACCCCAAAGCTGGAAATGAGGTAAGCAATGGTAAGCATTATGTGTACGATCCTGGAAACGCAAATTTCTACCTTTCTGGTGGTTATTATAGACTTTTTCTGGTTTTCAATCTGCTGTTTGATGCAACATGGGCCGCGCTTGGAATCAAGCTGAGTTTTTGCAGCCTGTAAGCGGTGCGCGGAGTTTTGTCATCCAATCTCGCCACTATTGTTGCCACCCCTTTAGGCCGAATTGACACCCACCAGGGAGTGAAATAGTATGAATTACATGTTCCTAAATGGCACCTCTCCAAAGAACAATTGAGGCACGGGAGGGTGAGGTAGAAAAATGAAAAGAAAGTTGTTACTCGTAACAACGTGTACCACATTCTTGTATTTTCATGTATTTTCTTCTTTGACTCTTGCGACCTCCACTTTAAGTGAAATGTCCACAGCTGCAACAAACCAACCTGTAAATTATACATGTTTTGACCCCCATGCTTAAAGAAGAAAAAAAAACACGTGGTCACTATGTTCCTAATCCTTTGGTGGCTCCAATTGTTATGGCACGATTTCTTATATCTCCTTCCATGGGGATACCCATGTGTGGCCGTGTCCTCCGAAGTGACTAAGTGGGCCCCAAGTCACCATTTTGGGTGCTGGTAACCATCCCCAAATGGTAGTTTTTTGGCAGTTTCCCACATGAATTCTTTCGGCAACTTACTTTTATGTTTCGAGATTTCCCACTGCACATGATCAGAAACCTTTCTTGTGGGGTCCAGCAGATTGGTGATGCTCTGGTGGTCAAATCTTCGACGAATAGATGTGCAAATTGAAGTCTGTGTTTAGTGGATTCAACCCCAAATTTGGTTGATGAAATCTAGATTGTTGGTTGCTTCAATCACGTTGTTTGCACGGGTGAAGTTCCGATTTTGGGGTGTTTTTTGTTAACCATGGTTTAAGTAAATCATCATATTGTTGATTGCTAGCTTAGCTGTTAAATCATTTTGTCTTGGTAAAATCATCCTTCGTGATATTTCAATCACAATGTTCCATGGTTTTCCATCATTTCAATGGTTAAATCGCCATTGTTCCTGGGATTCCTGGCCGTGACACTCCACACATTCTGATGCCGACCTACCAAGGTTTGGGAAGCTCTAACTCTCCAAGAGATTCGCCGTGAGTGTCAAAGCCGTGATGCGTGGCGACCCAGTAAGGCCACTGGCACCCTGGGGAGATTTGTGGCGACAGCAGTGGCATGGGTGTCTCTCTGAAAACGGCGTATCACCCAAAACAACATGTTTAATTGTCTAATTGGATTATGATGCAAACATGTTGGATTTTAGATGACCCGTGGTTCAAAACATCATTGATTTTCCATGGCTCAATGATTGATCATTGATGATAAAACATTGGATTTAACATGATTTACTTGAGGTGATTCGAAGCCAGCAGAATGGCGCGTCTAGCAGAAGACTGGGGTTGCAGCAAGATAAAGCTAGCCAACATTGATCGTGAAATCCCTATCACCCCGCACAGAATGGGCCATCCACATCCCGATTTCGTAAAGGGAAGGTATGAGTTGCAGATGAGTCTGAAACTCACCGATAAGCTTACCAAAAATGGCGTGTTTACCCATGGCTAAAGCGCCATGAATAAACAATCCTCTGGGGTTTATTCTTGAGCATCCCGTATGGCATTTCAGCATAGCCATGGGATTATTTGGGATGATCACCGGGGGCCACTAGGGTGCCTGGGTGCGTGCCTAGCTACGCCCAGGTTTGCTTCACGGGACTGCGGAGCCGAAACGAAGCAGAACAGCGACAGGAGTCGGGGCCCTCTTTAGGGCGGGGCGGGTGGGGCTGGTGGGGCCACTAGGTGGTGAAAGAGGCCTGGTTAACGGTTGCCTTGACATGGCTTGACTATCTAGATTCATCTCGGGTTTGTGGTTTGGAACATTTTTCCATATATTGGGAACAATCATCCCAACTGACTAATATTTTTCAGAGGGGTTGAAACCACCAACCAGATCTAGATTCTGGGATTTTGCTATTTTTCATTGGCTAGTACAGAATAAATGACTGGAGAATCTGCTGGGAATATTTTTGTGTTGCCACCCTTAAGCATATCCAAGGATTGGTTTTATCAGTATGTTTTTGCCAACCGATTTCGCCCCAGACTCAGATTGAAGTTTCACTCATACCCAAATTGTTCATTGTGTCACAGCCACACTGTGTAGAGGTGTGTTAATTTGTTCCCGCACCACTTTCAGGTTTGATGCGCCATGATTGGGAGTCCCAACCCCAGCTAGTTGATAATTTTAGGAAAACCCCGCATTTCCCATGAATATTGTTCGCTAAATCAAGACGTTGAACACGGTTTGTCCAACTAAAATCATTGACATCCCAATGAAACTCCTTTACAAACTATATATTAAAGCCCATTAGATCCTATGAAGCCCCGTTCTATAAAACTTGTTAGTTAGAACCCACTTAAAAACATTCAAATCAAACCCTTCAGATAATTCTATGCATTTTATCCACCCATTGAGATCAGCCTAAGCTTCTGAGGCTTACTGAGCGCCTATTCACCAGTGTAGGGCTTCTCAGACCTGGCAGGTGGGAGATGATACTGTGTGAAACCTAACAACAAACCTAGCCTTTTTGGGTGGTTAATACCACCTATCAAAGTGGTGATTTTTGAGGATGATTTACTATTGGGATTACCAGGTGAAGATATTAATTAATCCATATTGTTGTTTCTTTAAACGCCAGAGAAAATAGGCATTTGATTATTTACACATTTCAAAAGGACATCAACCTCTGAGTCAGGCATTTTTACCAGACATGATTTGTTTGGTCTATTCTCGTTGCTTGGAGCGTTCACCAGTGTCGTTGGAGGACTTTCAGGCTGATGCTGACAGAATTCAACGGGTGTTTCACAGCCAATGTGGCACGAAACTGCCAATGCAGGTTGTTTCCTCATCACGTCCCTACCATATTCTTGATTTTCCCAAGGCTCTTCGCCAGTATTTTTTGAGTAGCTCCAAGGAACTAATCATCGACTTAGATTTGCTGAAAGTTACTGTTCTTCCCCCATTGATAAATAAACAATTTGAGGAATCTATAGGGATATGTTCGTTTAAATGCCAGCTTCAGCAAAGCCAGATGATTAGGAAATACGAAAAAACATAAAACAAAAAAGGAAAAAACGACCATCTGGCTAAATTATAACGACCTCCGTGCAACCTCACTGGAAGACTAGTTTGTACAGGTGAATGAGAGTAACTATCCCAAAATAGCTTTATTGCAGATTCGTGAATGATTGCAAGTTACCCAGAAACATCATTACACATCATTAAACCATCATTTGTTGATGGTCAAACATGGTTTAAACATGTTTAAACAACTTTTGTTTCCAATATCCAATCGCTTTCTGGTTGGTGGTTTGGAACATTTTTTATTTTTCCATATATTGAGAATAGTAACCCCAAGTGACTACTGTAATATTTTTCAGAGGGGTTGAAACCACCAACCAGCTTTAAAACGTTCCTCCATTGTGGTTTTCCCAAAACGTCAAGGTGTGTCACAGCGCCTGGGAGACGCAGGGGATTCCTGTGAGGATGCCCAGTTTTTGGGGTGCCCAGGTCGAGCTCAAAAAATCTCAGGGAGTTATATAACCCATAAAACAAAGTGACTATATAGTGATATATATATATATATGTAAATGTATATGTATATGTATATGTAGATGTATATGTATATGTATATGTAGATGTATATGTATATGTATATGTATATTATATATTATATTTTATTATATTATATCATACTATAGTTCACATATAGTATAATATAGTATGTATAAATTTCAATAGATGACTATCGATGGCTATAGGTGATAAACCCTTAATGATGGTATGGTCATTAGTGTCACCCAAATGGTCGGAGTCATTTCATGGGGATTTAACCATCATCTAGCGGGGATTGAACCACAAAAAGTACTTGGATATAAGATATACCATAGGAACATGATAGGTTTACCATTGGAAAATGGTGATTTAATGGTTAACAATGGTGAATAATGGGATGATAATGGGATATACCCTCTGGTCACTTGTTACATAGCTATTGAACATGGCACATTTATAGTTGATTTACCGAACTTCTATAAAGATGGTTATTTTCCAGTTCGCAAAGTGTAAACGTTTACAGGCCGGGTAAGTGACAGGTGATGGTTGGTTGATGATCATCCAGGAGCTGGGAATCCAATTCACAAACCAGTATAAAGGAACGACCAACGGTTTTATGAACAATCCTCAAAGATGTCAATATTTGGATTCATGTGCAGAATCAACAATAATGAGATTCACAACAATAATGAGAATCAACAATAATTAATGATGATTTAAGAGTGACAGAATCAACAATAATGAGACATACATATACATACATATATATATATACGTATATATATATATCATATATATATATATATTCATAGAATGAGGCAAACCGAAAAGGTAAACCATCTCAATTGAGTTTTATTATTGGGACCCAAACAGTACCACAACTATTCTCATTTAGTGGAACTACTATGCGGATATGCGCGTATGTATGCACATACGCACGCATATACATCCAGCGGTGGAATCTTCAAAAACTGCTGCCACTGACAGTCCTGGAAACTGCTTGCGCCAGAATTGGCTCCTAGAAGGAACACCTAAGGAACACCTAGCATTTAGGTCGTGCAAAGAAGTGGATTTCCTAAGTTTCTTGCACAATCGGACAGCCGGCCCATTCTGCATTCAAATTGTTGAAAAAACACGGAGCTATGGAGAGATGTTGGTCCATTTTTCTGTACGACTTTCTTTGAACACATGATGCCCCTAAATCAACAATTGCGATAACTTGGTGGTGTATTCCATGTTCAATCAAAGCCAGTTATCATATCAAGTTGCGGCTTGTCATATCATGTTATACGCAACTGGTTCCCACTGTGTCTTCAATATATCATGGTTATTTCACCATCTCATTGAAGAACCATCAAGATATTCCACCATAAGATGGTGATATTTCACCATAAGATGGTGATTTCTTCATATGCCACTGCGTCCACATCATATTTCATCGTCTTATTTCACCAGCTAGCCAGTGAACCGGCTTCCCAGGGAGATTTTTTTCAGGGTATCCCATGAACCGGCTTCACAACAACAACGGCGTCATGGGATTGAACTGATTGAACTTTTGGACGTCACGGTCCCATGAAGACATACCATGTATATAATTTAATATTAATATCACAACATCCAAAAAAAAATATAGAAAAAACAAGAAGTTATCATTATATTTTAGTTGGTTGGTGGTTTGGAACATGAATTTTATTTGTTCCATATCTTGGGAATGTCATCATCCCAACTGACGAACTCCATCATTTTTCAGAGGGGTGGCTCAACCACCAACCAGTAGTGGTACCCTCTGGTAAACGTTCACATAGCTATTGAAAGATCCATCATTTTTTTCATGGTAAAACTCACCATTTCAATGGCCATTTTCAATAGCTATGTAACAAATTACCAGAGGGTATCCATGGCAAATGGCAAAAAATGGGCCCATCTGCATGACTAATATTTTTCAGAGGGGTTGAAACCACCAACCAGCATGATATTCCGTGTGTCCCATGATATCCCCTTTTTTGTGGCCACGATCCCACGATCCTAATCCCGAGGTGAAGCGCTTGGGTGGTGGACAGGCAGCGGCCAAGGTGGTGGAGAGGCAGGTGAAAGGGAAATGTTATGGGAATATGGTGGGTATATGATGGGTATATGATGGGAGTATGATGGGTATATGATGGGAACATGATGGGAATAGGATGACTCAAGGAATATGATGGGAATATTTTGGTGATATTACGATATTTAAAAAGAATCTAAGAATGTGGGTTATTTAAGCGAGAATATTATCTCAATCGTGGCTTGAACTCCCGTGTTTTTCTTGGTGCGGTCCAAACATGTTTTCACGCGGATTGATTGACATTTGAGACCCATGTTTCTTCCCACCCTCTGCGTTTGTTGGTGAGATCCCCAAAGTTTGTTTTCGAGAATTGCACTTGGTGCAATTAGATCTTCATTTTGATTTTGTAAGTCCTTGTGTTCGGTTGTTGATATCCACATGTTTTCCATATTAAATCCACAGATGTTACTCTAAATTATGATGTTTGCTGTTAAAACCATTTTTTTCTTGGTTAAACCTCCCTTCTTTGTTGGTGAGCTCCCCCCCCCATCCTCCCAGTTTATCCCTGGGCTTCCCAGGGCTTGCCCAGGATCGCTCGGCTGAGTGAGTTGACGCTGGAGGATCTGCGAGTGGAGTTCCAAGCGCTGAAGATTCCTGCGGAGGCGATTTGGTGGTTTCCAATCCATGGGGGTAGCTTCAAGTCATCCTTATTTTTTAGTAGGACTTTCCATTGTAAACCATAACATGGAAACCTCCATGACTCATGGGATACTAAATACCAACCCCAGCAGATATAGCCCCTTATGAAATGATGGATGCTGACCCCATTACAACATATTACTGGATCATACTGGATCCATTTGGATGCATCATGACGTAAGGGGAATCATCCCCGCATGATTGCTTTGTTGGTAGTTATATGCATCTGCTATACTAAAGCCCCAAAAGATGCCGAAAAGTGGGAAACTTGGAGATATTAGAAATATCATCAAGCCAACATCCTGGAAACACGCTTCGGCCATTTTTGGGGGGGTTGCTCTACAACCATTTGGATGAATTATAATATATTATAATGAAATTATTTGGTAAAGGGAATTATCCCCAAAGGGCCGCAACTTTCGGGTATTTTCACGTTAGGGTCATCTAATTTCGAGATTTACCCTTGGGTAATCAAACATGGCTGGCTGGGAAACACCCCTATGAATGAAGGCTTTCTATATTGGGAAAATCATCTATAAATTGGGATTTTCCATTGCCATGTTTGCTTACCAGAGGGCACAACCATCTACATAATGTCGAGGTGTATAACCAAATATAATATAACCATATACTATACGTATATATATATATGTATATATACATATATGATATAGCTGTAGATATGAGATACTTCTTAATGAATTCATCCTGGCTGCAGTTATGCGAGTAATGTCGCTGAAACAATTTCATAAACCACCCATGACTGGGAATGGTTTATATATATATATACCTATAAAAATGTGATTTATTTTTGTTTTACCCACATGAATAAGGTATTTATCACTATTAGTCACTATTAACCACTATTATAATCACTATTAGTCATGGCATTGTTTTACCTACAGAAAACACAAGTTTTTCCCATGGTTTTTGTTCCCATTCGCCAGGCCGGAGAACCGGCCAAGAAGCGCGAGCTGCTGAAGGTCCTCGAAAAGGTGGCCATGTGGCAGGCCCGCGAGACGCGGCCTTGTCGCGTGGAACCAGCGGTGGGTGGCGAAATTGGTAGCAACGAAACATGGGGGAATGAAACCAAGGAAATTGGATGGAAAATGGATGCAAAATGGAAACCAAGCCAAGAAAATGTGGCGGAAATGGTGATAGTGGATTTGAAGAAACGAATGATGGTCATGATGTAATGTGGATTTTACTCAACGAGCAAAAAGGGGCGCAACAATAATGCGATGACATTGATTTATTGTGGTTTGAACGCTATTGCCAACCAACTGGATATGACACTTGGCTTTGTTTGACCATGGGGTATACCTACCGCTCCTGGCCATTTGATAATAATGATGTCATGACCATTGGGTACCCTATTTTCGGACAAACTCGTATTTTGGTGTTGAAACACTTCTTGCTGGCATTGTTTCTACATGTCCACATTCCCAAGCAAGCCCCTTGATTGAAGGAACAAGTTTTCAAAGACTATCATCATTCCTTTGGCTGGTAATCAAGACTTACGAAAAGGGCATGTGTCACAATTGGTGACCCAAAACATTGAAAGCATGATCACATGATCATGGTCCTTGTTGAGGGTGCGGTCAAGAACGTTGAATACATGTCACGATTATCATCATCATCAACAACATCATCAACAACATCAACATCATCATCATCATCATCATCAACATCAACAACATCATCAACCTTATGATACATTATCTTCCCACCTTCCCCCACACTGTTTCGGGGCTCTTGCCGGTATGTATATATATATATTTATTTATTTATATATTTGTAAGGGAGGTGGACGCCAAGATCTCAACTCAGCCCGCGTTGACATCGCAGGAGATGCCATTGAAGGAGTTGCAGAAGGACTGCCGTGAGATGGAGGCAGATGCGGTGTCCGCCAGGAATATGGGAAGTGGTGTGACAATCATAAAATGGGCGTCAAAACGCTCAAAAAATACACCTTTTTAGATTTTCTGTCATGAGGGACGATCATACCTCTTAAGTTTCAAAATGCGACCTGCAGTGCTGCTTCCTATTTTGTGAAGATGTGTTGAACATATGCACAAAGACACAAAGATGATCTTACTCCACATGTTTAGTGCTCTGCTGTGTACGACTTCACCGGGCCTGCTCGGAACAGCATTCATGTGGGATACAGCGAAGAGCCCGCACATCCTCCATCCTGGGACTGCTACGCAGAAGGATAGGATTCCCGTTGGCAATCAATAAAATAAACAAAACCTGGTTGGTGGTTTGGAACATGAATTTTATGACTTTCCATATATTGTGAATGTCATCATCCCAACTGACGAACAAAACATATGCAATTTTTTGATCATGGCACATATGGGTTTTCCCAGAATTAGGACCCCAAATCCAAGGTTGATGATCATGTATCCTTTAAACAATTGCTATTCTTGGAAAATACCCCATGTCCAGACACAATCCCCATTACATCCTTTTGATCAAATCACCAACGTTTCATGGTTTAAAGTTTAAAGCCCACTAAATCCCAACGTTTTGATGGTTAAGTACCACGAAATCCCAATGTTTTCATGGTTAAATCCTATTGAATTTTAATTTTCCATCGTAACTCACCGTGTTTGTTCTGGTTGAACCTCCCATTTTTTCCATCGGAAACACCTGGCACGCCCTGGCAGCTCGGATCGGATGCGATCGAGGTCTCAACGAGTAGCCTCTCGGGCGTTCGCCTGAGCGATGCTGAGCAGCGGAAGGAGCGGAAGATCTGAATATGTTTTTCATGGATAAAATGGAATATACCCATATTATCCATAATGTAATGTGATACATCCAAAGATATTATGGATCCAATGATCCATATGTGTTTATTCCCATATTATAACAGCGGAAGATCCATAATGGAATTATCCCATATTATCCATAATGGAATATACCCATAGATGTAATGGAAATTCACCTTAGGATAGTTTATTGATATGGATTATAGATGGGATGGACATGATAGATGTAATTGATGTAATGGAATTTAGCCATTATTGAATGATACTGTGGATCGAAATCCTGCACCAGTTGATGGTTTATGCCATGGTTATATATTTCCCAGTAAAAAAATAGGGTTTCACCCATCCAAAGCAGAGTAATGCTATTGAATGATATTACCCTCTGGCAAACTAACAGTTTGCGAACTGGAGAATCACTATCTTTAATAGGTAAAGCAACTATAAATGGGCCATGTTCAATAGCTTTCCCCAATGCATAGGTAATATCACAATTAATCTCCATTAATCTCCCTCCACTAACATCCAGAAAAATATCCAATGTGGGTAAACTAATTCCATAAACCGCCCATTTTCCTGGGAATGGTAAACATACTAGTTTATACCACCTATAAAAATGGTGATTTTCCTGGGGGATTGTTTATTTTTTTGTTTTACCCACATTATTGAATGATACTACCTTTTCGTTGTCAAACGTGGCTGGGCAATCCCTGGACCAAATAATTTACATGGACGTTTATAGCTGGATGGATGCACCCAAAATTATTATGTGTTTAATCTTTATCTTAGGAAAACAATGTCATCAACCACCCATATGTTGATAGTTTATACCACCCATTTGTGATAAAAATGGGGATGGTGTACTTTTGTTTTACTCACATCACATGATATGAAATGGGGAACTAAGAAGCTACTAATAGTTTCCAAACCATATGGTATATAGTTTTTTGATAGGAATTGGCCTACAATATGTTGATTTTTTGGTCATTACCCATTCATCCAGTAGCCATCATTTTTTGCAATGAAATGGGATAGAATTTGGGTGTAATTCATAGGATATGACTAGCCAATTTTATGTGATAGTTGGGTTTGCTGAAAATGGTTCGTATGCCAACATGGCTTAGATATCCAGTTTGGGAATGGTTTTCTATAGTTTGCCAACTCCAGATCGGGGTGGAAGATATGTTGTTTGTCCACATCTGACTTTCCAAATTTTTGGAGCTCTTGATTCGGAATGGTTCCCGCGTACCCAGAATTTCAGAAATTTTGGAGGATATAAACTTACTGGTGCTAAACGTAGGGAATGGATGGGTTGCTGGGGGTTGCTGGGATTATTATTGATAGTGAGTATATTGATCATTCCCTCATTCCCTAAGCACCAGTAAGTATTTTTCTGCGGATTTTCACTGAAACACATCCATTGAGCCCAACTGCCGTTGCGGACAGGAGTTGATCCAACGATGCTGCCTGGGGCTGGGGGTCTCAGTCACCGTGGAACAAATTATCAGGTGGGGATGGATCAAACCCTCCGGTAAACTAACATAACTATGGAAAGATTCACCATGTTATTAATAGGTAAATCATCATAAATCATCTGTAAATGGGACATTTTCCATACATGTACTATACCCTCTGGTAATTTAACATAGCTATGGAAAATCACCATGCTATTAATAGGTAAATCCACGAACTAAATCAGCATTTTCAATAGCTATTTGTCTGTGTACCAGAAGCTATTAATATAGTTGAGGGATGAGCATCCATAAATCATCATAAACGCCAGCCATCCTGATGGTCAGAAAAACTGCCCCAGTTGGAAGTGGTGCTGGTAGCTGAGATAACCCATCCTGGTGGGCGGTTAGGTGTCACATTGATCCCGTCAGTTTTAGGGATGTGTTATGTGCCTGCTTTAAAAAGTGTACCTGCATGGTACTCATACCACATAGGCTGGAAGAATTTCTTATGTAGATCTAGAATGGTCTACGATAAATGTATGTATAGTAAATGCATGCGCCGTCCTCGCTTCTAAACAGGAGCTAGTCCACGTCGTCTATGTCCTTGCACAGCTTACCATGTTCCCTTCCAGACCGTGTGTTTCAAGAGTCATGGAGCACGGTACATTCTGGAACCCAACCTTTTGGTCGATCCTTTGTCAGATTTGAGAGCTGCCACGTGAAGTTGCCAAACGGGCCGCTTGTTTTGAACTAAAACGCCCTCGAAGCAGCTTAAGGATTCTCAGGCGCGATGCCGCGACGATTCCAATTGGACGCACCCAGCCTCAATCCTCACCCTGCCGTTTTTACACCAATGGAGCCGATGGACTGGGGTCCCAAGTCTTGACGCTTTGTATGTCCAATTTCGGATCCGAACCCTACCCCGTCATAGAATGTGATGTTTAGCATGCCAAATTCTTGTATATACTTATTCCGTTCCCCAAAAAATAGACCGGCACGGAAGCCGTGCGTAAATATGCATTAGTATCCGAATCCAAAAAAACCTTGAAACCCAAGAAAAGGTGGATCATTCTGGGTTCTGTAAATTATAACGACCTCACTGTTCTCCGGAACCCTGGAATCATGGTTAGGATTCGGGAAATCATCCCCAAATAGTGAAATTTTGTAATTTACCCAGATCATTGCTACATTGCACCCAACCAATTTTGCATGGTCGCTTCGCGGATGATTCCTCAACATCTGTCTATGTGTCCACTGCTGATCAATAACGACTGGTAGACAAACATTGAAATAGACATGTGTGATTCTCTTATCCATCATCACGTTTTGACATTTGCAAAGTTTGACATATCCAATTGATAGATATTGATAGTAGTTCTTATATTTCCTTATTTTTACCTTCTGGTAAACGTTTACATAACTATGGAAAATCACCATGCTATTAATTGGTAAATCCACGAACTAAATCACCATTTTCAATAGCTTTTTGTATGTTTACCAGAGGGTATAGTCCATTTGAGTGATTCCCGGGTGGTTGGCTTGGTCTTGGGATTCCCATTTCACGAGGATTCTGCTGAAGAATAGCTCGATGTTTGCCAAGCCAAATAAAAAGGAACAAGATAATTGCTTGAATGAAGAAATATCGCGATATTTACATGAATGTAGGCTGCCTAATAGTAAATCCCAGCTAAATAAAATATTTTTTAAAAAAATAGGGGGGGTCAGCATTCCAATAGTAATTTTTTGGAACCTTATAGCTCGGATCATGATATGTATCTGATAGATTCTCCAAGTTTTTGTTGGGTTTCTGATAGATTCTGAATGGATTTGGCTGGGTTTCTGAGAGATTGGCAAAGAGTTGGGAAAGGAGAAGGAGGAGAAGGAGAAGGAGAAGGAGGACACCAAAATTGGAGTTGCGGAAAAAAGTTTCCACTATTGCCATGCCTGGTGCAGGTTTGTTATTGCTATTCTGGGGCTTGCAAAGGGGGTACCCTTTGTGGACCTGTTTTCTTGTTTTTTTTAATAAGGGTTTTATAAGGAAATCAGCTGTTTGGTAATTGGATCAGATTTCTCGAATCTAAGCTTTTGCTAATCAAAAGTGAAGGCTGCTTTGAAAAGGATTTGCTTTACTTGACTCTTTTGGCAATACTAAAAGTAAATGGAGCTAATTGACTTTTAGTATTGGAGAAAAAATTGCAGTTGGGAAAACAGTTTCCACTATTGCCATGTTGGGTCCACTATTGGCCATGCCCTCTGGACAAGCTGAACATGACTCTTTTGGCAATACTAAAAGTAAATGGAGCTAATTGACTTTTAGTATTGGAGAAAAATTGGAGTTGCGGAAAAATGTTTCTACTATTGACAAGATATCACTATTGGCTAGACAACATTAATTAATAAATACCCTAGGGTAAACTGGCATAGTCTAGATGTGTTTTTTGTTTGCCCACCATTTGTATATCATTTTCCGGACCCCGTGGGATGTTCACATCTTTGTTGGTTTACCCTAGGGTAATAGTTAGAATAATAACCAGTTAATCATTGGCCTACCGGAAGGGTGCCCTCCTAGGTTGTTCTTGCTGAACTGGGCCTCTCAGGGTGTTCCGGTGAAACGTGGGGGCCCCAGCCTAAGCAGTACAGGTGGTGGCGAGCCTGTCACCAGGGAAGAGCGTCTCAGCATAGTGCGGACATCACCAAACAAAATAAGATTTAACCACCACACATGATTTTTACCAACAAAACAGAGTAAAGACAAAACTATAGAAACAATAAGTAGATAGAGCCAACAGACATGAGCAAACTGTTATCCATACTGAGCTAGTCACTCCGAAAAGTGCCAGATGTTCTTGGGCCGAAAAGTTGAAGGTGAAGCATCAGGCCCCAGCCCGGGTCGATAGGCTCGTAGAGGTAAACGCACATATCTCACATGGCTTTGTCCATACCCAAAATCAGGTTATTTTTGTTGTTTCATCATATGAAAATTTTGAAGGGGATTCCTGTTTTCAGGCACACCCATCGAACTGTTGATTCTATATCCCATCAGGTTCCATTATATAATATCCTCACAATTGGTTGGTTTTTATCACGACATGATTGTACTTTTCCGATATTTCTAGAATACATAGTGACATAGTGTTGCTTTGTAGATTCCATAATATGTTTTAGTGAAACCTCATTTGGGCTTTTGGATCCAAGCTTTTGTTGGTTATATTCCCAATTTGTTGGATCATTCTGGAAATTTTTGGTTTATTAAATCCATAGTGTCCCTTGTTAAATCCACACTTTGTTGCTTAACTCTCAAATTTGGATCATTCCGGCTGGTTAAGTAATGTTAAATCCATTTTTTTTGCCTCGTTATCAATCAGTTCGATCCTCCAAATTTTCCCTGTTTCATTCCTCACGGCATCCGCATCCAGCTGAGGTTTGGAATGCATGCAGGCAGCCCTGCAGGTGGTCAAGCGTGTCAGGAGCTCCCAGGACAGCAACAAAAAGTCCATGATTTTTGGATGATCCCTTGGGTTGGGGGTTGATTATAAATTGATTATAGGGGGTGAGTAACTTCTAATCACTTTAATCAATTTATAATCAACCAATTTTGATTGATGTTGGGTGACTATCACTAACACAATCATACAAAATCATTATTTTACTACTCGATTCATTTTTTTGGGGATTATATAGGGGATTTTTCATCACAGGTAGGTAGTAACTGATCGCCATGTTGATCCAGAGGATGAAGGTGAAGGGCAAGCTGCAGTGCTGAATATGTTTTTTTTTCCGGGAAACCAAAGGATGTTTGCCAAGAAACGCTAGAAACGAACTTATAATATCTTATATACAATATCTTATAATATCGTTTATATATTATATATACATATAATCATGGGGACCCACTTTGTGGTGATTTGCCTCATGATATTATTGAATATTTATTGTGAGCTGTTTACCAGATCGTTCCTTAGGGTACAGCTGGGATTCAACCATCACAAATGTAACCAGCTAAAATATGATTGTTTAACCCTGGATTGTAATACAACGGGTATCATCGGATGTTTCTATACGTATATACGTATATAGAGATAGATATATTTGCGTGTAATTAGTCTTATAACCAGCAAAGATGGGGGTACTTCACTGCGGATACACAGCTCGCGAATGGAGATATGAGCGCTGATTGTGAAAAATGGTGTTTAGCCGACAAGAATGAGCGTCGAGATGCGTCGGCCAAGAGACCTTTGCCAGTACAAGTATATCATGTACTGGTCCAGTACTGGTATCACAGCATATTTAATTTTAATACATCTACCGGTCAGTGCAGTGGGGCAAATCCTCTGAGAAACCCTGGCAAAAAAAAAATGCCGTAATATACTAGTAATCCCATCATATCCCATCCCTCCGATACTAAATACTGCCAGAGTTGGTGGCAATTCATGAATTGATCCAACATATTCCACTAGGGTTTCTTGGAGGTATTTCATAATTTCATACCATTCTGAAGGGGTCGGGATTAATCGTACCATCTTATAAATGCAATTGTACATCCAATTGCTGAACATTGGTAAGCAGTATATCCCCATGATATCCCGCATTTCTTTTTTTGAATCCTCACTTATTACCCCAACATCAGGAAGGATTGTACCAAAAAGACTGGCGTGACTGGTCAATACGCCTGGTAAATAGATTGTAAGCTCCATTAAATCCCATCAAATCACTAAATAACCAGAGGATAAATCATCGTAAGTCCTCTTTAAACACCATTAAACATCATTAAACACTACATTAAACACCATTAAACACTACATTCTAGCTGGTTAATAATTAAAAAAAACCTAAACCAGAGGGCGGATATCCCCAAGGTGCAGGCACTGGACGCCATGTCTGAAGCAGTGCTAAGGACCAGCTGTCACCGGTGGAGGGATCAACAAAAATGGCGATTTTTTGGTGAATTCTTGTTGTTGATTTGTTGTTGGGAATTCTTGTTGGGGAATTATAAAATGGATTCTTGGGTAATTAGCGTTATATGTTAGTATTCAATATGTTGTTGATTGATGACATTGATGACTTTTGTTGTGTGAGTGGTTTTTGGTTTTAAAGCCTCCTTGGGCGCAAAAGATCATTTTTGTGGCATGGTGTTGCTAGTGCTGCTAGTTTGCTTCATTTTAGTTTGTGCCTGCTTCAAATCCTTATCTCCCAGTTTGCTAGTTCGCTTCACCTTACATCAAATTGTCCTGCATCAAGTTAAAAATGGGGTACCCATGGGGACCCCATGCAATGAAACTAACACTGGACATATTTGGGACATATCAGATGTGTATACATATATATACAGATAGTGACAAGAAAAAGCAACCATGTTATATTAAGATATTATAATTATGATTACAAATGTGTATATTAATAACTACACTGTACAATCATATCCCCATCTTGGTGCGAAAATCGGTCCTCACATCCCTGGCGATGTTTGCCACTTTGATGGCCCAGGAGTGAATATGCCAAGTTGGTGCCACTGCCATCAGAGGAGCGTTCGGGGGATTGCTTCGGTTTTGTCCCGGACTTTATCACCAAAAGGATGAGGTTTCAGACGGTTTAACCATGAAAAATAGGTGATTATCAATAAAAATGGACGGTTTAAGCATCGAAACCGGGTGCTTTCACCATCAAACATGGATGGTTCAACTGGGTTGCTTAAGCATGAAACAATAATCAGGTGGTTAGGAGGAATAGATCCATCATATTCCTGAATATTCCATTAGCAATGGGGAGCCAAAAAGCTACTTTTTTTTGGAGTCTCCCAGCCACATCATGGACAAACAATGGGATACCATATTATTATTATATATATATATACATAGTGGGATAAGACTTGGATAATATATTATACAATGGAATGGGATGTATAAACAACCATATGAGACGGGTTGTCCAAACATGTGGCATGGGACTCAAAGATATGACCATTGGAACGGGGAACATGATCAATGATGGGATTGCCCCATGTTCAGACAAACCATATGGATGTAGTCGGGTGTAGGGTCAAAAGGCCCAGGTGCTTTCAAATCACTTGAATGGTTTTTCCACACAGGCTTTGATTTCTCAAAATCAGCATTCTTTAATGTGGCAAACTGGCAAACCCAATAATAAATAGTCCTGAATATTACCATAAATAGGTTCACCGGCCATCCCCAATTCGTAGGTTGATTTTTGGGTGTACCGCATTCCTTGCCAGTCAATTCAAGACCATCCGGAGTTCACCATGTGGTTTTGTCTGGAAATAGGGTAGCCATGGGTAGCCCAAGTTTGCGGGTTGGTCATCGTTTCCGCCAGGAGGACTGCAATTTGACGTGTGTGTGTGTATATAGTCCATTTTCAGATTTTCCCCAGTATAATTTTGCTGATTAATGTTGATTCTATATCCCACTATATCCCATTATTTCCGAATAAATCGTCACAATGATATATCCCCATATCGATTTGTCGGATGATTAATAGGGATACCCCCTAATTTGATGTTTTTTTTTTTCCGGCGGTATTTCCAATTTTCAAACAAATCCAGATATCACACTTTATCACACCATTGGTTAGTCATGGGTCAGATCCCATTCATTTTCAATTATATCACAGTGTCGTTGTGGCGAGGCTGGCAAGGAGCGTACCATGAAGGTTCGGCTCCGGTGTGCGAGCTGCATCTCAAGCCATGAAATGGAAATGATATGTGACCATCAAACAGCGGGTAAATCAACCATAACGGGAGTAGAATGGGGGTATCGTGGGGATATAATGGGCTAATCGGAATATGTTGGAACGAAGCCAACAATAGCGCTCGTTTAAAAAAAAAACAAAATGTATATAACCAATACCGGTTAAAACATATTATGTAATAAGATGATCTTATTGGGGAAGATATACTGTAACCAAAGCATCATATGTTTATCCCATGTGGTGGTTGAAATTTGATCAATCATAGGATTTTACACATATGGGACATGTAACCTTCAATCGGACACCGTGATAATCATGGGAATTAACCATCATTGGCTTTTTGAATATATTTGAATAGAAATATGATGATAAACATAACAGATCAACTTTGGGTAGCCTATGTTCAGGCCCCATTTCTTTTGTCAGAGAAGGCCATTTTAGGTATGTTCATCAGTCGATATCGTTGGTTGTAGCGGATGGCCGATGATGATTTCATCAGGACTGGACGGCATGGATGTGATCAGCAGCCAGCGCACTAAACACGGCATGGATCCTTTGATGAAATGCAATTTGTTTTTTCCCTCACTTGTGGAATTTGGATGTATTTGGTATTTTGTGTGTGTGTTGGTATACATGCCCTCCTATTGCATCGCTCATGTTTTTTGTTTGTTTTTTTGTTTTGATGTGTCTCCTCCCCTGTTTAGTTGTGCGTGCAGATGTGCGAAAAATAGTTTGAACTTGTTTGAACTGATAGCCTTTTTTGGAAAATCATAGTTCAAGTTCATATGGTTTTGTTTGAAAATAAGAAAGACATTATGAAATCATTTCCAAGAGTGATTTGTTTGACCTGAACTGTATGCAGATGTTGGCCGACATAAAAAAAAACTCAAGTGGCGATGGGACGTGGGACAGTCAAGCCATGGTTCACCCACAAGTAGGCCATGCTGGGTCCATGACCCATTTGAAACGCAGCGAGACTACATTTCCAAGGCTGTGAAGAGCGGTGTGATAGTGTCGGCCTGATGACACAGGTGTGACATGTGAAGATTGCAGGGAAAGATGCGCGGCTGGAGATTGCGCCAGTTGTGCCTTGAAGGAGTCCTCCCTGTGAGGCATGTTGCGCACATTAGAAAAGGGAAAATGAAACTGAATTGAATTGCATCCAAGAATCAAAAGGATATCATTGGACTGTTGGAAGTGATGGATCGAACATTTTGGGCCCAACAGAGCTGCAATACTGCTCCTATGTGGTATCAATGCGGTATTCAACATTATTCAACCATCAGTTTTGAGATGTAGAGGATGAGAAACACCCAAATTTCCCTGTTGAAGGGTCCTTGGAAAATGTTGGCTTCGCGATCCAGAAATCCAGATAGTTCAGGCAGCATGTTTCTCGAACAGGTATGAACAGCAGTACTCTTCCATAGGACATCTCAATTTCCATAGAGTTTGTGCACTGAACACAACAGTATGAACCATTGCTGGTTGGTGGTTTGGAACCATGGAATTTTATGACTTTCCAATTACTTTCCATATATTGGGAATAATCATCCCAACGGACGAACTCCATCATTTTTCAGAGGGGTAGGTTGAAACCACCAACCAGAATACGTTTCGAAGGCAGCATGTTTCTTCCATTCCGGCACTTTGGGGTCTTTTTGGCCCAGGAATCAATGGAAAACTGCGGCCCTATTTGGATGGTGTGATGGTAGCTCAAGGTAGGTTTCTTTCAAAAGAAAACGTCCCCAGCTTTACTTGGCAACAATTAGAAGCTGTACCTCACGACGATTTTGATTGAAACATTGCTAGAAATAGTTCTCTACCGACACTAGCTTTTACACATTTTTACACACTGTACATACCCTTGATTATGTCACGTTTTCTTTACAATGACGTTTCCTGTTTTGCGGGTGTGACGCTTCAATGTTCTTTTTTTGGTCTTTGTCGTTTGATGATATCAGTTCTGTTCTTTAAGTCCTCCATGCTAATTGTCACTTCTTGTTGGTTGGTGTCCGAAGATTCTGGCCGATCTGGGTGTCATTTGGTGCCAGTTTTGAACAACATCTGAACACACTTGTGGATTGTGGGGAGTTAGTCTTTGTTTGGTCCCACTCGTAATACTCCTAGAATTGGAAGAAAGGAAAATATGACAGAAAACCGGCACAACCCTTCATGTTCAGGGGGAAAAAAGCGGGGGCGGGGGGTCCGATTTTTTCCCTTATATCATCAGCTCAAGGAAAATGTGTAATACGCTTTGTTTCGGCTCCGTTTACAGACTATGCCACATGTCGCTGGTGTCCCGCACAGGAAGTGCTGCAACGGTTGAAGGAGGCGAAATGCAGCTTTTGGGGGATGCCAGGTGAGTTGCAAATCCTGTTCTGTCGGATAGTGATTAACCCAAAAAAATGCGGTTGCTATCAGCAAAAATTGGGATTTAACTCACAAAATGTTGGGAAAACATGAGGCAATTGGGAAGGTCAGGGCATATCTTGTTCTGATTTTTTGTTGGTGTTCAATGTGTGTTCCTCCAGTTTGATGTTTTTACAGGTGGGGTTTTGGGGAATATTTTGATGCTAAAGTGATGTGTTCATGTTTGGATTGGATGATGGTAAGAATTGTTGTTGACTGTTCGGCTTTACACTCCTGTTCAATGGTTCATCCTTGGTTTTGATGTTTCACGTGTGGAGACTACGTGTAGTTTAAATTATGGCATTTCTGACGGTCATTTCGGTCTCGATCATGCACTTGTAGTTTTAAATTCACGCAAAGCTCCTTTGGGAGGAGATTTGTGTACGTATGTATATATATATATATATTTATAATATATATATATATATATACGTGTACATATATATATATTATTTATATAGATAATATTATATATTATGTGATTCCTTGTTGGCCAAACAATGTTGAAAGTCCAGTGTTTATTTGTGCAGCATTTGGGTGGTCGCTCCTTGAATGTGTTTCTAGAGTCAGCAATTTTGGTCAACTGCCTTGTTTTTGTCATACCAGTAAAGTACCTTCTTGGTGTTGGTCCCTCCCCTTTATGGGGATAAAAACACTTCCAGAAATTTCGAGAGGCCACCAATAGTCAGGGTTAGTTGAGGGCTTAGCAACCACCAACAACCACTACTCAATGTTTTGTTTGACCATCTATTTTTGGGGTAGTTATTCGATTGTACAGTATTATATAATAAGTTATATGCATAGTTATCTAATCCCCATGTTATAGACTGTTTCATTGGACTATATCCGCATCAAATGCTTTGGTTTATGCCTATGCCCTCATTTTGTTGCTCAAACCACCGACGTTGGCCGCTTCCCTGATGTTCCTAAATCAATGCAGCTGTTGGTTCGACACAGCCTGGTGACGCGCCCGTCTTTCGCCCCTTCGGCGCCTTTTCGCTTTGTCGGTGAACCTATTTGGTTCTGGCCAGCTTTGGGAATTTCTTCAAGTGGTGGTTGGCTCATCTCTGGGCATGTCTATGGGACCAATCCTCCCAAGGGGTCAAGCACCACCCCCTGCACTCAGGCATACCTTGAGGTGATGAGTCAAAAATTTGTGTGCCATCCAAAGTGAGGTTGCCGTTGATTCTTAATAGTTAGTTATTAGACTAAGTTTGCTAAATTGCATGCCATAGCATCCCTATTTTTGGTCTATTGGTGTACATATTCTGCGATACTGTGTGTATCCTAATTATGTACAAGTGATATCAAATGACTACTCTGTGCGGCACAGAACGTTGTTTTCATCCTTTTCGTTGCATTTGGCACACACGCACAAACCCACAAGCTAGGGTTATTCCTTGGGTAGGGAAATCTCAGTCCTGAAAACAAGAATGTGGAACACTTAGAAAAAGGCCTACATGTTGAGATGTGTTAAGTAAGTATGTGTATTCAACATCCAAACCCATGGTGAATTTGGGTACTGTAGGTTTTACATTTCGCTGACCATTCCCCAGTGGTACCCCGTTTCGCACGAAACATCCCGCAGCCTTAGCACGGCTCAGCTCCCAAAATTTTGGACGGCTCAGCGCCACAGATCTCAGTCCAAATGTCATGGAACACGTGTTCTTTGCTCAACTGATACTTTTTCAAGATATAAAATTCCCCCCCTGCCGCACTGCACCATGGCGAGAACTCCTTTTCGATTGATGGGACGCTCATCTGAAGATATTTTTCTAGAGCGTTCCTGAGAGTTTGCAGGATATTTTTTCTATGGATATCTGCATTTTGTTTGCAGCTAATGGCTAGCATTGTAGTTTTTGAATGTTTTTTTTTCATTTTTTTGTATTGTTGTTTCAAATGATTGTTTTTTCAAGTTGGAAGAATCCGCCTCTACATTTTATCACGTATCCAGTAGTGCCCCCGAGACACCAAACAAAGTTTTATTGCTACCCTCTGGCCATAGCTGGCCATAGCGAACTGGAAAATCCACCCATTTTTCAACCGGAAAACTGGTTGGTGGTTTGGAACATGAATTTTATTTTCCCATATGTTGGGAATAATAATCCCAACTGACTTTCATATTTTTCAGAGGGATTGAAACCACCAACCAGAAAATCAACTGAATGCCACATAGACCAAGCGGAAAAAAGTCCTTTTTTTTTGAGGGGGGCAGGGGCCATGAAAAAGATGAGCCATGGGATTGGTGTTTTTTCTCAATACTGGATCATCATTGGTTTAGAAATCATTTTCTCCTGGGATATATGTATATATATATACACATTCACACCTAAATGATATTTTTTTGGGTGTTTAAAAAGGACACCAGCTGGTTTGTTTAATAGTAGTTATATCATTACAGTTCCACATGACTTTTCCGTTGAAATCATATAATGACACACCATGTGCGCTGGCTATACACCCAGCGCCGCCCTCAGGATGGCTCCTTTTAGGGGCCATCACCTGGCAGATTGGCAAGACCTTTGTGGCACCGCCCGTGGCCCCCAACCAGCAGGTAGGGGATTTGCTCAAAAGTGGCATCCACTTGGCATCCAACCTGGCATTCATAACATGTAGAAAAAGGTGAGTTGAACCATAAAATAAAACTGGGTTCAAATGAAATTATGCACATCTAATTGGCATTGAGTTGCGAACATCGATTTTAATGGTGATGTTCAGTGAGATATGCTGGGGATTAAGCATTCAATGTTTATTAGGATTTTTGGCGGTTTTAACTATCAAAATTGGTTGGTGATATGGGTTCACAATTTTAATTTCAGTTTATGTCATTCGGGGAGATATTTGCTTGATCCTTAACCAACGACCAAGTTGAATAAAAGTTGCCAGTGAACATGGATTGGAAATATTTGGAAATTAGTCCAGATGTTGGAAGCTTAAAGTGGGGGATTCATAAAAAAGACTAGGGGGTTAACCATTCAATAATAGGGATCCAATATGATTAAAAACACATGTATCAAACGGCAATGCATTTGGTTTAATGGATGTTTGTTGAATGAATCTAGATGCTGTCCCTTGTTGGTATGATCTCGATTGGTTAAGCTTGTTGGGATAGGTCGCAAGATTGTTGGGATAGGTTGAAAGAACAAACCCAGTTGCTGGATGCATCAGGTTGCCAAATGCGACTATATAAATGTTCACCATATATCCATACATAATAGTATATAATCATATAATCATATATTATATACATATAATTATATGTATACTGGTATAATTATCCATATATCTTAGGCATTAGATTTGGGTAACCGCCAAGACATAGTCAACTATGGTATAAGCAGGTTTTGGTTGCCGTCCTTTGTCAACTTTTGGCAGGGCATCACGAAATTAAAAAAACGGATATAACTTTAGGCCGATCATTTATGTTCAACAACAATGAACAGAATGAGCATGCCTGGCAACATGATCCACATGGGTATGGGTCAAAACTGGGGCACCACAGAATTGGCATGTCTTTAGTGTCACTGTTTGCTTTTTTTTCGGGCATGTAACAATTGTGAGCGATATCCAAATCACGAAAAATATCGAAAAATCCTGTTAGTCAACGCCATTCACTGCATAGTATTCGAAGCCATGGGAAGGTTGGAGGCAACGTTGCTTTTGGATCCAGCCTGCCTTCGACTTCTTTCCAGGTGCACAAGAAGATGCAACCGATTCAGAAAAGGAGAATGAAGAAGCGGGTCTGTGCGAAGTTGCCGAGTCTGATGACGAGATGGCAAGACATCGAAGGCACAGCAGGTCAGTGGAGCAAGTGCTGCTGAGCAGTCCAGGACTGTTGGTCGCAGGAAGGAAGGTGAAGCTGTGAGCCTGCCATATCAGTGGAATGAAGCTGGAGCCTAGCGGAGTCTAGCGGAACAAAGAGAGGAATGCTATTCTAGCTGAATTAGAGTATTTCACCAACATGACATAGTTATATAAGTTAGTTATACATAATTCCATTTTGGGATACTTAATGCTTACCCCAATCCTAGCAATCATGTACAGTGATGTCGCGACGTGAGGTCGTAATTGTAATTTAGCGAAATCACTGGAATTATAGTAAACGGTATTCGATTTGTAAATTATAGTGTGTAACAACAGTATTCAACAGCATTATAGTATGTAATTATACTCGTAATTGTAAACTCAGTGGTATTCCAATTATGTACCCTCTGGCAAATTAACATAGCTATTGAAAATGGCCATTTATAGTGGATTTACCCATTGAACATGGTGATTTTCCATAGTTATGTAAACGGTTACCAGAGGGTAATTACAAACATTTATCCCAAGATGACAACTGTACCCAGAATCCAATGGTTTATAAATTGATGTTCTGCAGAAAAAAAGGTGCCAAACAAGACACACCCAACTACCATTAATACTGTTGGTTAGTCAATGTTAGCTAATGTTACTTAAGTAATCTTAGTTAATGTTGCACTTGTTCCTTAATGTTACCCTCTGGTAAACTAACATAACCATGGAAAATCACCATGTTTGATGGCTAAATCAACTATAAATGGCAATTTTCAATAGTTTTTTCTATGTTTACCAGGGGTAGTGTGATGTGAGTTGGTTAGTTGGCTTGGTACCCCAACTTGCCCTGAGATCCCAACTTGTCCTCGCAGGTGCGTGGAGGCCGGCCAGCGCTTCAAGCTGAACCGCCCCAGCAGCGCATCAGCCCAACGGATCGACAGACCTTGGCCAATCTGTTGCTTGGAAAATCCTGCGACATGTCGGAAGGGTAACGGCATGGTTTGGAAAATAGTGATATTAATGGTGGTTCATAGGGTATAATACCAACAACAATGGGAATATGATGATGATCTGCTTGGTGGTGACTGGAACCATGGTGGTTTTGGATATAATTTGATGACTTTCCACTGGGAATGTCATACTCCCAACTCCCAACTGACGAACTCCATGATTTTTCAGAGGGGTAGGTCAACCACCAGGCAAATATCGATGGGAATTCCCGGATCCTAGCACCATATGTTTGGGAAAATATCCTCTCATATAGCCCTGACATAGACCTTATCCATGGTACCTCCAATTTAGGTTTCCTGAAATGTCCACTGAGCAGAAGGAGATTCAACCATATTCAACCACAAAGCACGGATAACAAACTGGGGTTTGAACAACTCAAAATGTAGGTATAGGTATAAGTATATCATGGTGATATGGGATGGAAGGTTTGAGCTCGTTGATGGGATTTTATCATGAGGAAATGTCCAAAGAAAGCTTCATAGAACCACATGAAGCTGATTCATGATGTATGATGAATTGATCTCCAACGAAAATGAGATGGTCTAAAGGTGGCTGAATTGGAGATATCAAGGTAGTTGTGACAAGTTTCAATGTTTTTGGGACAGCTTACATTCGCGTTGTGCTGACTGTATTTGTTAGAAGAGAGCTGGAATACGTGTAAGAGTCGGATTGGTAGCAGCAATGGTGGATATTGGGAGCAACCTCAGACGACCATCATCGTTTTCCTCGTCATCATGATCATCCGCTTCCTTTTCTCTCCATCATCTCACCCTGTCATCTTCTCATCCTCTCATCCTCTCATCCTTCATATGTGATTGTTATTGGTATAGTGGACGTGGACACCTCAACTGCACAGCGGGATGTAAAAAACACCAACACTCGGACAGTGAGCCCCTTGTTTGCAGCGCGATACCCCCACGGGAGAGCCCTGCGGGTTAGGGATGGATCAAAACCGACAATACCTGGTTGGTGGTTTGGAACATGAATTTTATTTTCCAATTCATATATGGGATAATCCTTCCCATGGACTAATATTTTTCAAGATGGTTAAAACCACCAACCAGATACTATCTTGGGGGTGAACATGCATTTTACCAGCGAGTTTGGAGATCATCGTTATACCAGGGTTCTGAGCTATACCATTTTACCCTCCAATCACCAAGGTTGGCTCCCCCCGATCAGTTGTTCGAGGAGTCTGGCGGCAGCTGCAGTGCTTGTCCAATTCATTGTTTCTTAAAATTGAACCTACAACAAATTGGATCTAAACAGCAGAACTAAAATTTACACAACCAAAATGATGATGTAATCAACATACACGGTGATAAACCAACATACATGTGGATTTAGTTTTAAAAAAAAAACGTAGATTCAACTCAACAAAACTGTGCAATGACACAACCATGGTAGTATAATGGGGATACAATGAGGATAGTGGAACATATTTTTCATACTATCCGGCATTTTTTAAGTTTGGTATGGAAAATCACATTTTACATAGCAGGTAAATGTAGGTAAATCATCCAAGTTTTTATGGTCATGGCTTCCACAGGTTGCCTACAGGTTCCATGGTGGTTTTGGTTGGATCCACAAAGGCTGGCTGAAAGTAGGTTTCCCATGGTGTTTTTGTTTTCCCATTGGTATCCCCATCTATACTGCTTGGTGGTTTGGAACATGAATTTTATGACTTTCCATATCTTGGGAATTTCATCATCCCAACTGACTTTCATATTTTTCAGAGGGGTAGGTATACCACCAACCAGTATAATTTTGACATTCAACATGTTGGTGCCCATGCAACCCATGTCTGGAAGTTTCAAAGATTCGGAGTGCTGAAAGCGTCCCCATGTGATGCAACCCCTTTCTGCCACTTGGAAGACTCTCCTATTCCGTTTTTTTGTCATTTTCCCGTCCGGCTGCAGTCCATCTTTTTATGCTAGAATCTAATTTTTGTTTGCCTAAATCCAATTGATTTTGGATGAGTCAAAACCATGTTGGTATACCAATGGTAATATTGACATATATTGACAATTTTTAATCTTGGCTAAGATGATTAACATTATCACCTCGTGTATGTTCCAAAACTTGGTTACCCTAACATGGATTATCATGTTCCGTTTCTGAAAAAAAATAGCCTTTGCAGCACCAAACATGGCTAACCTTTCCCTGTGCAAGGAGACCGAGGACGGCATGATTTTGCGGGAGAAGTATCCCGGCGGCCGTCAGCCCACGTCCGTCTTCTGGGCCATCGTGCAGCCATTGGTGCCGTGGTGGATGGTTCTGGCTAAATTATAACGACCTCACTGCGACCGAAGCCTGGAATCATGGTTTTCATAAGGGAAATCATCCCCAAATGGCCCAACATTTGGACCGCAAGAAGTTGGTGGCCCAACATTTCAGGTTAGGGAACTATTATAATTTACCCAGATTGGTTTACGGAAAATTATGTGTTTTTTCTCCCCGCGGGAAATCCATTACTTGGGAATGTATAGGGAATATTTTTTTGGGGGTGGATTTCCTTGAGCAAATCCAGGTATGTAAGTATTAAAGATCCCCAAGAAACCATGTTTTATAATATGTATATAATATATATATATATATACATTCAAAGTATATCATAGGCGATGAAATCAGATCTTGCTACCTATTGGGCCGTAGAATGTGGGTGTGTAACCTTAGGAGAATGGAATTAATAACCCCCACAGAGATTTTAGATTTCGGATGACGACTTACGTTTTAGTTCATAATGATTAATGATCATCTATGTTTGAAATTCCTGTGAAACCACAAGCAAGCAGCATGGTCTCGTTTTTTGGCGGGCGCCATGAGGCACACGGTAGACTTTGTTTTTTTATATATCAACATATATCACCATACGTTTTGTTTTTGTTAACGCAAAGCAGCACTAAGTATATCACACCATGTACTGTATACGCACAGACAATCCCAGTAAGACGATATTGTGCAATTCTTTCAGCTGGTAGTTGTCATTTGCTATTGCAGTTTTTTTTTAAAAAATATATATGCAGCAACAAGGCAGCAAGCTTAGGAGGAAAACTCATGTTGAGCTGTATTTGGGATACCCTCTGGTAATTTAACGTAGCTATTGAACATGACCATATAGTGGATTTTCCCATTTAAAATGGTGATTTTCCATAGTTATGTTAGTTTACCAGAGGGTAATGTTTTGTTTAGTTACTTTGAAGGTTTCGTCGTTTTTTTTTAAACATGTTCTTTTGATTCTCCATGACATCCCGGTCAGAACCATCTCACCGCCGGTTCACCATCAAGGTGTCCCTGGGTTTCCTGGTGGTTGGCCTCTCTGCCTATTTCGGTGAGCCTATTGTGGATTGGAACCCTCTCACGGCGGAGTACCTGGGTGGCTTGGATTGAATGAATTCAAACAAAGACTACAATGAGGGTTCCCTTAGATAGCTAAGTTGGTTTATGGCTCCAATGACTATGGTTTATGATACCTATAACAACAGCGTTAATGGGGTTTAAAAACCAACTTATAACTGGGTTTCCATAAATGGGGGTACCCCCCATAGCTGGATGGTTTATAAGGGAAAATACCATCTATAAATGGATGATTCAAGGGTACCCCTATTTCAGGACACCTCCATTTAGTCCCCAATACAGATTTTTGGGAGGACACATGAGGACACTAAGTCATGAAGTGAACAAGATGGATTGTAGCCACTGGAGGACTTCCAGAGTTTGGATTGTGGCCACCGGATTAGATTATTTCTAGATGGTTTCATGGTTCGGGTGTTTTTACGTCCAAGCTATGACTGGTGCTCGTTTTATATTTGCCGATCGGTAATGACTGTCATATCCGAATGGGTTATAATTAAAAGGACAAGGGAATCGAAACTACTGTTTTGTTCCTGTCCAGGTTCTCCGAGAACCCATTGTTCCCATTGTTTTGTCGTGTTCGAATGTTCCCTGGCTATGCTCTTTGGGGGTGCAGATGGCCCAACCGCAGTGGGGCCATTGAGAGAAACAGAGGGGGCTGCAATTCTCGATGTTCGTCTCTTCTAGATGATCTAAGATATTCTAAGATTACCCTTTGGTAAACTAACATAACTATGGAAAATCACCATTTTCAATGGGTAAATCCACTATAAATCACCACTTTCAATAGCTATGTTAAATTACCAGAGGGTAAGTAGGCTTGAGGTCCTTAGTTTCATTGTTGTTGTCCCCACTTTCAGTGGTTGGATGCCAGATATTGGCACCCAATATATCTGTTTGTGTTGTCTTTATATTACAGTCAGCCAACACCACTTGGTATTCAAATAATTTCAAAGCTGTTTGAATCTATCTCTGGTTTGATTCTTGATTTAAGCAACCTTATCGTTCTTTTCCGTAAAGAAAAACATTTGAAATGTGTGTTTGACGATCTTCACCATGTCTAAAGCAGCAACTGTTCGCAGGCTTTCTGCGCCCCTCTGACGGCATCAACTTTTTGCCGCAGGGAGCCTTCATGCGCCCTGGCTGGGAAACTTTGCAGCCATGTTGCAAGGTAGGTTTTGAAGACAGCTAATTAAGGTGGTTTATCATGGTTGAGAATGGTTGGGAATGGTTGATGGTGTGTATGTCTACATCTACATTATTCTACATTCACGTGTAGTGCTTAAGTAGCATCCCCAATGTTTGCTGTTCCCACTGCATGTTCAAAGTTTCAGCGTGTTTCAGCGATGCAGGTGCTTCTATGGCTTCTTCGGCTTCTTCATTTTTGGACCCATCCAGTGGCCTTGGCCAAAGAAGACTGGGTGATCGGACTGGCAAGTGAAAATCCATGAAAATCCGTTCAGCCATTTTGATGAGGGCATATGTATGCATATGTTGCATACACAGCCATATATGTTTATATATAATTTGTAACTGTATTTTGGTAGGATATCCAAGCCTCAAACTTAGCCATGAACAGATGGAATGAGACAGCGGTGCGATAGCTGGTGATACTGTAATCAGCTGTTGAGGTCAAGATGCCGGCCATGGCAACTGATCTAAACATTCTAATGTACAGATATATATATATATATATTTGTATATGTATATAGAAATATATATATATATTATATTGATTGATTGTGTATTTTGGTCCATTTTTTTTTTTAATACAGTACTCATTATGTCTCACAATGGGCATGTAGATAAATCATTCTACGCACACACCATTCAGTTGGGAATTTCACCATTCCAACTGACGTTCACTCATATTTTTCAGAGGGATAGGTATACCACCAACCAGTATATATATATATATAGTACCGATCGTCCAATTGGTTCCGACCTTTTTGGGTTGCTGCCACCTGCCAGGTGGTACATCAATATCTTCAACATCGGCCAGGGTGTTTGTGAGTTCAACAAGAACGATGGCCCCTCGGGTGTGAATTCTGTAAAAACGCGGATCTTGCGGTGAGTTTGTCCGAAAACCGGAACCGTGTTTGGGGAAATCTTTTATCTTCAGGGATTTGTGAGAATGACTAGGAAAGATTCTGGGGCACCCTCAGAGAAAATGGGAAAGGAATGATAAACCATCGGATTTGTTGGTTCCATGTTGTTTTTGGGACAAACACGTACATGTCTTGGCAGAGTCTTGGCACATCCCAGCTCAACGTACTGCGTGTCTGCGTGTATCCCTTGTCGCAAACCAGGTTGACCCATGGTTTGATGTGATGTTTCTCTTTTTCGTTGAATGTGTTACCATTTGCTTATTTAACATAGCCATGGAAAGATCCACCCATTTTTATGAACGGTAAACCATCTATTTCTATGTAGTGTCAGATTTGATCTCCATTCGATTCCTAGATCTTGGATGATCCAGATATGATGTGTTGAAAGATTCGATGGTTTCCCCTGGATTTAAGATGGTTTTACCCAAAGAGATAGAGTAAGCAATCTATAGAAAACTGGGAATCCTCAGGTAAATTCATGGGGTCATCAATCTACAGTCTACAGGAACCAGGATTGGGGGTATACCCCAGGAGAAAACACACTTAACAGATCTTAACAGATAGGTAAAAATCTAGAAAACCCATGGTTTACTGTTTACTGGGAGAATGACCGACTTTCGTGGCTTTTCCATGGTTTTCCTGGCTCCTGGCGACAAGGCATGATGTACATCGTGAGGAACAACGAGATGATCCGCGAGGTACGTCGTGACGTTGTAGTTGTTCTTTGCGGGGACATTGAAGCTATGGCACTTGGATATTGCAGTGTGTATCCATGCAGATTTAGTAATATAAATATATACACAGATAGATATACACTGCACACACACATATATATAATATATATATATATGTAATCATGTGCTGCAAGGTATCTATATATAGGGCAAGATTGATTTGTAAAGTCAAAGGTCGCAATGGGATTGCATGAGTAAGTAAGTAGTGCTGTGTCTGTTTTTTGTTTTTCCTTGATGATGCATAGCAAACGATATGTCAGATTTATAAGTAACCCTTGGGATGCAGATAATTGAAGGAATATTGAATATGCCGCAACAGGTCATCCTTAAGCTCATGACTATCCTCATGTTTTTTAGTATCTCAATTTAGCTCAAACTCAACCATGTAACAAAATCATCCTTGATACTATCCTCATGTCGAAATCTTTCCTCCATGAACAGGACATCTACATGCCATCCGCCCGAAGCACGGTGAAGCACGGTTCAACGGTTACCCTCTGGTAAACGTTTACATAACTATGGAAAGATCCACCATGCTATTAATGGATAAATCCACTATTTCAATGGCCATTTTCAATAGCTATGTTAGTTTACCCACTATTAACCAACTATTGACCACCATTTAACCACTATAAATGGCCATTTTCAATAGCTATGTCTATGTTTACCAGGCCGGGTAAACCACTGGGAGGTGCCGCTGGAAGACTTCCAAGCGGTGAAGTTTGAGTGGACCAACTTGGCTGTCACTGAGACGCAGCCAACAGGCAATGCCTATGACCAGATCTGAGGAAAATGGAGGATCGAAGCAGAAAAAAAATGACATTTCACCAGCAAAAAATAGTGATTTTATCCAGTACAGGTGGTGATTTATAGCACCAACAAGTGATGGAAGGTGGTGATTTGACCAGCTAAAAATATGTGACTTAATCGAAGATTTACAGCCTTGAAATGTCACCTGACCTAGCCAATACCTGTAAAAAAATACCTTGGCCGTACTTGTTTTGCATCAATTTCAATGGTTGGAAAACGTCCAAAATGGCCCTTTGCAACGAGCATGCCACTCCGCTGCTGGTTTTGAACCATTTTGAACCATGAACATGAGCCATTAACCATTGGGGCATGGTGATTGGGATGTGATTTTGCAACGGCTCCTAGCCACCCCAGATTTACCATCCAGTAGTTTAACATATAAATCATTGCAACTCAATGAATCAATATAAAATATATAAATCATGCGTTGTTTTTCGAGAATTACCCTCTGGTAAACTAACATAACTATAGAAAACCACCATTTTGTATGGGCAAATCAACTATCCCAGATGTTCCCAGTAAAAGTTGGTCCATTTCGACGCCGAGGTGTTGGGTGCGCGAGATGTCTACCTCATCACACAGGCCAGTGGGCGGACGGTTTTGACCTTAATGTATATTATATATGTAATAATATATATATATATATATATATATGGCGCTATATATATATATATATACATGATATACATGTATATGATATGTCCAACAATAATGGGTACGAAGAACTTTCCAATGTTGCTTTCCCTGTGAAACGTGGTCCACGTTTCAACCAGTGACCAGTTTTCTTGTTTTGTTCTTGAGTTAAATATGATTCTGCTGAACATATCTATACATGTTGCATGTGTCGCTGCACAATGTCCTGAGTCCTCACATTTACTGGATCAATTCTAGTGACATACCCTCTGGTTATTTAACATAGCCATGGTATAGATGGCCCATAGAAATAGATTGTTTACCTATTAACAATGGTGATTTTCCATGGCTATGTTAGTCATAACCAGATGGTAAGTAAGTCTTTTCTTTCACTGCAATGGATGGAGACGTGAGGCCCAGATGTAACTTTTCCTTTGGAAAAGGTAGCTGGCTAAACGCAACTGTCGTTGAACAGGCGATTTACCTTTTTGAAGTCGAAGATTTCACCGGCCAAGGAAAATATAACAGAGGTCATTGAGGTCATGTGTTTTTTCAAGTGAGTTTATCTCGGTTCACCAACTTTGTTGTCCAATTGAATGATCTCCCCATCATGGTTTTGCTGAAACATCCTAGGCCCTAGGCCTTGTTTTTGGTGGCTCAGAATGATACCCGAGATAAGGTCTTTTCTCCCTGAAACATGCCACAGGAAGGACAGGAGATTCACTTCATGGACGATCCTGAAGTGCAGCTTGGACAACCTTTTTGGGCTTAGTTCCCCCTCCGCTGCCGGTTGATGGTTTTCTTTGGGTTTGTTTATGTGAATGTGTCTGAAAATGGAGCATGCTGTAGTTCCAAATTGCACTCTTTATAGGGACAAACTGACTAATTACTGGGTTTTGGATCACCCCATGTTTTGCAGAAGGGATGACAGGCATGCATAGTAGGCATTCCAGCCTTTTTTCACAGCTGCAGTATGTTGATTTGGCAGAGATCATCCATTGCCACGAGTCCTTACATGTCAAAACCTCAGGCTTCAGGCAAGGATCATTGCAGAGATTCTGGGTTCATTTACCCTCTGGTAAACTAACAGTTTGCTATTGACAATGGCCATAAAAATAGTGAGCTGTCCCATTTAAAATTGTGATTTTCTATAGTTTTTTGTATGTTTACCAGGCCGGGTAAGAAGAATTGGGAAGAAATCGAGCTATTGATGGAGGTTTTGCCAGCTAAGCCTAAGCCACCACGGATGGCGACCGGCTGGCGACCTCACCAGAAATGTCGAGCAGAATCGTGAATCAGAAACGTTGGACATGATATCTAGACGTGCTAAGTCTCGAGGAGAAACAAATCGAAAGAAAAGCCAAGCTTGTGAATTTCAAATATATATGTAAATGTGCAGCCTGGCAGCCTGAATCATCCTTGCCCAGCCCCAGCGAAAAAAGGTATAGCAAGTTTGTGCTGGAGAAGCGTGCTGCCAGATTATCCGAGTTCCTGCACCTTGCACACCTCGTTCGAAGATCTCACCCGATGTCCCCAAAGATATGGTTGCTGTGTTAAGCCATGCTCACAAGAAGGTGCATTAATGGATAATGCCTACTAGCAGGTGGTTGCAAGAATCCAATGCAAATAGAATTTTCTGACTTGGTCAGAAACAGAACCGCTTTTGTGGACCCACCGATTCCAAGAATTCTGTTGAGCACACTCTTTGGCTGACCCTGTCAGCATGGCACTCTCAATCGCTTTCTCTCTAGTGAAATCTAGGTAAATGGATGTAAATGGGGGTCAGCCAGCCAAGGTTGATAATCCCTCCAGAGGGCTCATTCCTACAGTTGTTGAAGGGAAGAATTTACAGGAACTGCTTTAACATATTTTAAAATTATAGACTTCTAGTGCCAAACATTGTTTACCGTAGAAATTCCTTTTGACCAACTCCATCACTTTTTCTTCCCAAGTCGACTCCCCAGGAATGTGGAGCTTATTGTTGATGACGCATGAGCTCTTAATGGGCTGAGGGAGACTGCGCCTCCAGCGAGAGATGGGCTGACAAGAGACAAGAACTGTCAAGAATTCACAATTCAATAGAATTTAACCATCCCATCACCCGTATATATACATATATATATACATACATATATACACATGTTTTGTATATTTACAGTATTCAATCTATAGATATGTTTTTTTCTATACATTGGTTCCTTACTATATGTTGTGCAAACCACACAGGTAGGTACAAACCTGAGTATGTATAGTCTAAATTGCTACTAATTGTTCAGATCGTCTATGATCATGTATACCGGTGAGGTTCTCTACTGAAACATAGTATGTAACACCTATGATGTTCTGAAAAGGTGATTCTATTTTGGCTTCTCAAATTCTTGGGCTGCTGGGTAGAGCTCAGTGTCGGGTGAGCGGGCCATTTTTTGCTGCAAAAGGACACATATTTCACAGCCTGAAAATGAACATGTGAAAATGAAAATCCTCGCAATAAAGTTGTTTGCGGCTAGTAAGTATCTAAGATTAGCATAGCTTAGCCATGTCATTTACTGAGAGTTCTAGATTTTTCATTTCAGGTTTAGACGGCCGAACATCTGGAACCACTCTGGAATGTTTTGTCCCTTCCACTGGAAGCCACTTCTGTTTAAGGATCATCATGATCATCTTACAGATCAAATGGGATAGAGAGAGTGAAAGTGGACTGCCCGTCGGCTTCTGGTTTTATATGTGTAGGTGCTGAGATGTGGTCTCTTCAGACCCACCAGAGTTCTAGATGCTACTTTGTGTTTATTCAAAGCTTTCTGAGCTGTTTGGAAGCAGGAGACTACAGATGGCATTCCCCAATTTAAAAAGACCCAAAGAAAATCAATTAATTAAATTAATTTATGTTTTTAATTAAGATTACTGGTTTTCAGGTAGGGAATCACTGCTTGAACTACTTGAGAACGAGTTTGAAATTGGAAAAAAACAAATCCCAACTTCTAACCAAGCTATGGCTGCTTGCAATAGCTCCTGGAATAGGTCTTTCTATGTTTTTCAACGATGGCATATTTGGCTTGGATCGAAGTACATCCCCAACCTTGGATATGATTTTTGTTGACTATCACAGATTGACCATGAGTAGAAGCCTGGTTTTACAACACGGATGGAAGCATTTTTGCAGTAGAACATCCTTTTGCTTCCCATGTTTATTTGCCTTCTTTGCTTGCCACTTTTCACTCAAACCATGCCACAACTGACCAAAGCATACCGAAAACCATAGCCGCTATAACGTGCCATGCGACACTGTACCATACCACACCGTATCTTACCACAGCCATATCTCCCAGCCACCAGCTGGGTTTGAAGAGACAGGTCTGTGGCCACCCGCCCCACGCTGCGCGGATTTTTTTCGTCCCGCCGCGCCGTGTTGCCAGGAAATGTGAAGCCAAACTTTTTTCCCATCCTAATGGTCTCAAGCTTTGAAGTCTTATTCTGTGATTTGTGTGTGTGATGCCATGGCTATCATGGCTTCATAGTCGAAGTATGTCGAAATTTTGTATTCGGCCAGCCAACTCAGTGCACGTGCCTGAGCTGCCCCAAACCGAAGACTGTTCAGATCGCGCGACAAAAAGGAAGCTGCTTAGAGCAGAAGGGTGGCGATGACATGGGTGTTACAGTCGGACAACCAGGGAGTAGCCCGAGGGAACATTCAACTAAGTAAGGATACAAGTGAAGTCATGTGTTGCTTCTTCATGTCAAATAAGTGTCACAAAGTTTCATGTTATTTCCTGCTGAAATCCTCAATTTTGCTCAGTTTGGGTACAAGAAATTTCCGGAAGGTCTGTCTCAATGTAGGGACTTGATCAAGTTTGATGGTTGATCATATTTCCCCATGGAAATGTAAATCTATGGGTGCCGTTCCCAAATGTCAAATAAGGCCCCACTCAGGATTTTTACGACCCTAACAAGAGGGGCTTAAGCCTCAATTCTTGGGAGGGATACCCTTGTGCGGCACGTTGAAACTCCCATGATATTGAAATGCCTGGATTTGTTGAAGATAATGTGGCTGATAATCTCAATGGGAAATCCACTACTTGGGGAGTTTCTAGCCCCAAACAGGTTGATGATGGTTGATGAACTCCATCCTCATGCTGATGTTTTATCCAAGAACACATATAGGGAAAAATGTATGAACATGTAGTATTTTGATGTATTTTGTCATTTAGATAGTGGATGATTATCTTAAATTGTCATTTACATAATCATCATAATTATCCTACATGTGTTATTTAGTGGCTCTTCCTGGATCCCAAATCCCAGACTTGGACAAATCCAGCGGCCCAGGAGACCATGGGAGTTGGAGAAGCAGCGATTCCTCCAAGGGTTTTTTGCCTCAGATCTGTCAGATCTTGGTGATTTTGGTGAAAACCAAGGCGAATTCTGTACTTACCTGGGATAGCTGTTTAACTATGGAAAACATAGATGAAATTGACAGAAAAACTGATAGTTTGATAATTCCTTCCTAATTTGAAGACCCCCCCTTCAAAACCAGGGTTTTGTATATATTCCAGTTATCCAGTTGCTCATTTTTGGGTGCTATATGGGAGTGTATTTAAATGTATTTAATTAATATCTGGTGTGGTACTACAGAACCATGCTCAATCTACTAGTAAAAACAAACCATCACGACTTAGGGGCCTCTAAACCTCAAAGTAAGAGGTTTTATTCATGTTTTTTCTACAGTAGATGTGGATACTGCTGGATACTGTACATCGGTATTTAAGTGTGCACTAAGCAATGGACTTTCACTTTGCTTTTCTAGATCTTATGTTGCTTCTTGAGGAACCATCAATAGAAGATACCATCTGGTTATTTAACATAGCCATGGAAAATCCCTTATAAATGGAGGTTTCAATGGGAAAATCATCTATAAATGGGCCATTTTCCATAGTGGCTATGTTAAATAACCAGAGGGTAGAGGATACACAATTCCGAGGATATGAACGGAACCAATCACCAAATCTTGGGACTCAACCTGTACCAAGATCGAAGCAGGAAGTTTTACCAAGAGAAATGGCGGAGAACTGGTACTATTTAGGTACTCTTGTTGAGCCAACCCAGAGATTGTTTCATGGGGCAAAGTCAGTGGGTTTCATCGCCCGTTTAGCCCGCAACTCTTCGTTTGATCGTGTTGACTCTGTGGGTTCCTTGTTTATCGTATCAAGATACAAGTGGCAAAAGCCTAAGTATCAGACAACGGCTGTGTATATCAATTGTTCGGCATATCCTAGTCCTAGGCCAGATCCTGATTGCTAGCTAAGAAAAGATGCGGTTGTAGTCCCTCTTCAATCACATCACAACAATCAACAACGTGCTGCATCTCCACACGTGTGGTGCTTTTGTTGGTGTTTCTTTGTTGCTAGCGGCATTGCACAGTGCATTGAATATCAAAGGCTACTTTGTATATTGATATTATTTTTGTATTGTACTTCTTGATTAACGATTTGCCTTCAACACTTTACCCATGCATGATTGAACAAACTTTTGGGAATTCTGAATCCAGGGCTGTCCCAGAAACGTGATCATTTTTTTTGGCAGGAGAACTTGATTTTGGATGGTACCACTCCTTTCCTTTACACTTTCCATTTAATTTACCCATTGATAAGTCATTGTGAGCTGACCCATTTGCCACATGGCAGCTCCATGATGGGCTCACATCGCCACCTTTGGCTCTGGGAGTTCATCCCGGGTAGAACTCCCAGTGGGGCATGATCTATGTCGGAAAATCATGGTCCAAAGCCCATCAAGTTGGGGGGTTACATGATAAATTTCGGAGATCTATCCGAATATTATGTATATAACTACATGTGTATATATATATATATACATATGTACATTTTCTATGTTTTATATTCCCATTATGCATAAATATAACCATTACATAGATCCCAATAAATCAGTGATTTCTGATTTCCACCAGAATTTTGGTGAGACCTCGAAGGGGCCCTCGAAGGGGACCGCACCTCGGCTGAGTCTTTGATTCTTTGCGCTGACTGGTGCAACATCTTGGCACCGGCCTCAGAATATTGGTATTTATATATAATATTGGTATAATTATATAGTACCATTTATATATATATATATAACGTTATATATATATATATTTATCACATATATATATATATACCAATGTTTATTATATCATATATATATATATACATATAGGTATATTTATATAATCAAACAACCACCGTATATATATATACCATACACAGAGATAGTGCGTCAATTTGGTGGTTAGGAGGGAGCAATGTGGAGCGAAGGAGCCAAAAGTGTGCCAACTACATGATAGTTGTTCGCCAGCAAAAATGTAGTTTTGTTTAATCATGTTTAGTTGTTTATATAATCATCCTGAAATGATGTGGTTGTTTGACTTTTGTCAAATCATGTGTTGATTGTTGTTTCATCATCCTGAAATGGGAACATATAGGCCATTTAATGTTGAATACGCCCAATTCGGGGCACAAAATAAACAGTTTTTATCTAGCACTCAACCAAAGTGATGGTGACAGATTATCCTAATTTCCCTATTCTTTCCCATGTCATGGATAACCATGTCTTTTTGCAGCTACCTACAAGGTGGTGCCCCCAAGTAATCTATGCTGTAGTCCCCCTTGCACCGACCAGGCTGGAATCACATTGGTGATCTCTTTTACCATCATCATGTGCCACTTGCCACGGGAACACTGGAAGACTTTTGTTGTTTGTTTTGTTTTTAAATTGATCTTTGTGATGTTTTGTGTTTTCTCATCCAAAAATGATTTGCGTCCGGAGTTTGGCGATCCTTTTCTTGCCACATCCTTCTGGGGCAGGAACCTTGGAACAGTGCCTGTTTTTTGGGTGAAACTTCCCCATGCAAGTCCTCTAGATGGTGGTCACCACGGAAATTACCCTCTGGTAAACTAACATAATTAGCTATGGAAAATGGTACATTTATAATTAGTTGATTTACCTTT